ATAATTGCAAGATGCTGAGACCCGTTACAAAGTAAAATAGTTCATTGTCACAACAAGCTTTGTCTTCAAAATAATAATCAAGCTAGATGTGTTTGGTGTTTCTGTGTCCAAAACCTCTTCCAGCTGCCACAAGGTAGCTAACAACACGGTCCTTCAGTGTTGACTTTCATGCCATGAGCAGAAAGGTAATTCCAGCTTTTCCTTCTCTGTCCATGCACAGCTGGTGGGGCAGCTCTTGCCCAGGTGACCTGACTCATGGAAGCTACAGAGCAGGGCAGGACAGCGTGGCAGCTGTCATGGTTACCACTGTGGGAGACACAGAGGAGAGGGTACTGACAAGAGGAGGGACAGGGAACCCCAGGGTTTTCCCATTTTGTGGCCCTGGCCCCATCCAGGATGTTTGCAAGGCTTTGCAGGGCGTTCTAGGGAGAGAACAGCAGGGTGGGCCAGGGCTGCTGCTTTGGTGACAGCTCCTGAAAGCCATTCTTCTTCTTCTTCTTCTTCTTCTCTGTCCAAAGTCTGGTTTTGATGTTTAGTGCAGTCCCTCTGCAGTGCCCTGGTTTGCCAGGGCTGCTTAGGCTCCCTCACCCTTGCACACAGCCCAGCCTGTGGAGCAGCACTTTCTGCCAGTGCTCTGGTCCCTGGCACTTCAGAAAAGCTTTGGTTCACAAGGATAACAAGAGTTGCAGTTACCAACCTGAGTGTTGACATCACCTAAACTTGTTGTTCTGGAAAGGAGTCAGAGTAAACACCTCCTCTGTCCAGACGCAGTGCAGCTGCCCATGATGGTTTTCACTTTCCTCCCCGATAATTAATGCCAGTTCTCCTTGCCAACACTTCTGAGTAGATTTGTAAAGTTTGGAGCACTTTGATATATCAGCTGTTAATGTGAGCTTTTCTCCTCCCAAGGATATGTCCCTGCAGATGTCAAGCAGTGTGATTTGCACACCAGCAGGGCTGTGAGTGCTGCCATGGGTGATGAGACAGGTTTGCTCAACTGAGCAGTGCTCCTTTAGGACAAAAATTGGAAGGAAGCCTTTGGCCAGAAGAAGTGCTTTCATTTGCTAGAGACCATGAATGGCCAAGTAGGAACAAGGAAGCCCATGGCTAAACAGGAGGGTACTGCCAATTCCATTCACAGATTCTCCAAAACCCGGGAGGACTGCTACAATGATGATGTCTGGCCTGCAACATGCCAAGAGGCTTAGATCACAACCAAGCAAATGAGAAAGGCAGCAGGAAGGAAGGAAAGGCTCTAGTCCCAGCCTCTGCCTTGTACAACCTGGGCAGCACTTCTGCCATCTGAGACTGATGCTGGCAGAGCTGGATTTGGTGGCACAGCACTCAACATTTGGTTGTGCTGCATCCCGCCCTCACGTGCTCGGGCTTCCTTTTAATCTCAGGGATGCAAAGAAAGCCCAGAACACATTAGGACAACCACCTGGGGAGTTAGTTATGATTTTTAAAAGCTAATGATGCCGCCCACTGTTCAATGTTTATAATAAACTGTCTTCTCCCCCTCTTAACTAAATTGTGTATACACAGGGTAAGAAGCTGTACCCGAGGGCCCTGAGCACTTGGCTTGCTGTACAGAGCTGCTGTACTCCATAAATAGGAGAGGTGGACAGAAAGTTATTAATTTTTGTGCATGTGAATGGGACAGGCTGGGAAGCTCAGGCAAAAGAAAGCAACAAGAATGATCCTGGCCTACAGCTGCAGTGTTTTAATGCAAACCTGAAGATTGTGCTGTCCTCTTGGCAGCTGGCTGACAGCTCAGCCTGCACAAGTGATGCAGATGGGGATACAAAGGTTGCATGGAAACACATTGCTTTCCTCCAGCCCTGTGCCAAATGTAATACCTGATTGCTCAGCTCACGTACATTTCTGCAGTACCAGAGAAGAGGCACTCTGCAACACGGAGCAGCACACAGTCTGCTGGAACTATTACCTGGAAAGGAACATTTTTGTATTTCTCTAGTCCATGGTTTTACACTGATGTCTGCTTTGTGATGAAGTGTCTGTGGCTGAGCGGCCCGTGCCTCAGGCTGTGCCAGGGAAGCAGCGCTCTGGGCAGAGCACAGCACATTCCAGGGCTCCAGACTGTTGTACAAATAAGGAAGCAAAAGGTCCGAGCTGGATCGGAGCAGGACTAGCGTATCAGTGAGAAGAGCACTTCAGCTCTGAAACAGCTCTGTCATAGCAGGAAATGCAGTGGCATCCTTCAACCTGCCAGAGGAGGGGCATTTCCTTTTGCACAACCATGTCTCAGTTTTTCCTCACAGAAGAAAGCTGTGAAGGTGAGCGGGTCACACGTGTGTGTTGGCAGAGGCCTGGCAAGGCCAGCACCCACAGAAGATGCACTCAGTCACTCTGTGCAGGGGAGAACATCCCTGCAGCAGCAGGAGAGCTTGGGGACAGCGCCGTGCAGGTCAAGCCCCTGCAGCCCAAGCACCGCCCAGCCCCAGCTGATAGGAGAGGTTTTCTGGTAAAGAGGTGATTTTTCAGTTCTGTTTCTAGGTAAGTTACTTCCTTTAGTGGAACAACTGAGTAGTTGGACACTTGCATGCAGGAAGCCACCAAGCCACTGGCAGCTCAGCATCACCCTCTTGGTAAAGGCAGAGAGCACTGGCACATCAGCGGCCAGGAAACACTGCCAGTGCTTTGATTCCAGTTATTTGGCTGCAGCATTTGATGAACTAGACAGGCTGACCAATGTTTAACATGTATTTTCCAATGCCTGATATAAGAAATGACAGCTTTTAATTACAGTACTTAATGTTTTAGAAGACAGCTGTTTCTTTCACATTATGAATTAACAAGCTATTCTGAGCAGATTTGTACTGTGCAAACAGATCTAAACTAGCTGTGAAGATAGTTTAGCTTGGAGCTTTATTTTTTTGGCATACTCCCACTTTTGAGCTTCATGCATTTGTTTCTTCTGGTGTGCTGAGGTTGCAGCAGACAGGACCACCTGTGTTTCTCAGGATCTGGTGCCACAAGGGTTGGATCTTGATGGGGCCCTCAGTGCCACCAGAACTACATTGCCAAACTGAGAACAAGTTTATTTTTGTATTGCACAGATGCTGGTTGAAGGGACATAGTTCTTGACACCCATTAGCACTCAGGTCTTGTGTCCAGGGAAGTTAGACACAAGTGCATCCCTGAGGAGCTGACACATAGAAGCCACTCCAGAAAAGATGGAGAAAGGCAGGTACTGTTGCTTTGCAATGTTACTTAACTCCACCTGTTTGCAGAGCAAATTACCATTAAAAAACATAGCTAGGCCTTCATCTGTATTTTAAGACATGCAAAGGAAGAAAAAGAAAAAATAAAAAGCAACTCCAGCCCACACTCTTGGCAGCCTGGCTCTCTCCCAGGTCTCTGGCCTGGATTCCTGCAGTTCTGAGTGAATGTTTCTTTGCTATCTTGCTTGTCCATCACACCTGCTTTGTCTGTTGCCTTCAGTGTTCTGCATTTACTTATTCCCACACTCAGAGTCTGCCTCCCCTTCCCCAGCCCACTATATTTTAGCGTAACAAGCTGTAAAATGAGATTTTATGAAAAATAAAACTGATGCTATACCAGTTTGTTCCACTTTGCGTTCTGATTTTGCTGAACAAAACACAGGTTTCTTTTATTTTTTTAAAGTAGCAGCTGAGCACCTTAAGAAACTAGAATCTGTTTGGGGAAGTTGTAGGAAACTAATATTAGAGCTGCCATTTAATTCTCAAGGCAATAAAATGGACTGAGAGGCCAAGTCCCTCTGAATGTCTTTCATGTAGGTTTGTTACACAGTGTGAGCTTGTTTTACAAGTGCTCTGTTTACAAGAATGCTGGGGGAGCTGGAGGAGGGGGGAAATGTTCATTTAAGCCCCACATTCACATAGGGCTACTTTTGTAAAGGCCTGATCCAGTCCTACCAGCTGCTTGCCCACAAAACTTCCCAATTGTGGAGGCTAATTAAGATTCCTCAGAGGAGCTCTCCTCTCCCCAGCGGCTGCAGGCAGCCTCATCAGACATGCTGTCCCTCCCCCTGGGCCCGGCAGAATGCCCTACTGTGCCTGGGTTACGTTATGCCTTATGAATTAACCAATTGATTCGGAAAATATCACTACTTTAGGGCTAAATAAAGCTGTTCCCTGCAAGGGGAAAAAAGGCAGGGCTCTGCCTAGGAATAAACTGATACTGTGTTACCTATAACTATAAACTCCCTTCTCTCTCATGCTGCAAAGTGAGGATTTGCTTGCCAGGACACAGGGAGTTGAGTACAAAGGGAATTTATCATGGATTTCTGTGAAAACAGGGAGGCTTTCCTGAGCCTGGACAGTAAGCAGGACTATCCACTTGCAAGTAAATAAAGCTTCCTGCATGCAACTCCGAATTAAAAAGTTAGTTTACATGAAATGACTGCATATTTGCCTTGTCTGTGTCCACTTCACTCTCCAGCTTCAAAGTGAAGAAACCTGTAACCAGCACAGATCAAGCATGGCTGAAAGGTGCTTGGTGCTACTGCTGTGTAGCTGAACACAGCTCTAGTGCTGGAACAAAAATTTCAGCTGGCACCAATACATAATGTTGGACCTTCAGTATCCTTTGAGTGGTCATGGCCCCAGAAAATTTATATTCAGGCTTTAAACTGATTTTAAACCAGAACCAAATCTGATCTAAAGCCTGAACTGAGGAATATTAAAAATTAACTGTTTTATCTGATACACATAGCTTTCCCCTGATGTGTTTGTGCAGATCCCTCATCTTGATTACTTAAAAGAAAGCTAACTGCAGGAACCAGACAAGATCTTTCAAGCACTGAAGAAACCCAATGTGGTGACATGTACAGTTTCATGTTGGTCACAACAAATGTACCATCAGCTTGGACTTCCTCCTCTTCCTGAATGTCTCACGTGTTTGCCTACAACTCTTCCAATTAAAAAAGATCTTCTCCCCACCCCAAACTAAAAATTAGAATATTAAGACAACTTCACTGCACAAAACCATACTAGATACTGTAATAACAAAATGCTTTATTTTTGGGGAATACAAGGAAAAGTGTGACATCCTCATAATCAAATTGCTTTAAAAAGGCATTCTTCCTTTGAACAAGGTAACACTCGCAACAAAAGGTGACCGGTGAACAAGCCCTCTCATGTAGCAGCAGGAATTCCTCCTTTACAGCCAAAGGCAGGGTTTGAATATTGTACAGCCACAGATTCCAACTCTGTCGATATTTTCCAGTAGGTTAGGGCACAGGCTCAGCACTGCTCGGTGTGACAGCCCAGAGGGAGGCTGACAGCACACCTCTGAGACAGGGCTTTCACAGTTCTCACCCAGGTCGCTTTGCAACAAACCACAAGACTTCACCATCACCACAAGAAGACACTGAGAAAGCCACAAGGTTACTAATCTTCTCGCTCATCTCCAAAAACTTTTCATGCAAGCCCTATGCTCGTGAAATTCTCGTACCATCAGTCTGGTTACAGCTCAGTGTGTCACCACACATCCCCTCTGCTGCCAGCCAGGGCTGTGTGTGAGAGGGACACAGCAGACCCAAGGCTACTGACACAATCCCCTCCTCAACGTAACTGTTTCCTGTACAGCGGGCTCCAAGCTGGGATGTGTTTTAAAGACTGCAAATTTATATCCATAAATTACTACTGCCCTCTCTGAACCTCATGTTAGAATTCAAGTTGTTAAAGAAGGGGATGGGGAAGTTCCTAAAATTGTCAGGTTATAAAGTAGGCATTCATAGTTCAGTCCAGTGTGACAGCTCTTTGTCACAAGTGGTATCCATCCATGCTAAGGGGTAAGATACATTGGTCTTGTTTAAAGGGGGCTCGTGTTGTCTGAAGTGGGTATGGTAAACTCTAAAAGAACTATTGGTTTTCTTTATTCAGGTTAGACATAACAAATATGTCAGATACAGCAGTTAGTCTAGAAAAATACATTTAAAAAAATCTTCAGCAGACCATGCTCCCTGTAACAAAATCTTTCAAAACCAATTTTACAAATTATTCTACATTAATGTAAAAAGAAAATCTTAAATTTAGCATAGTGGATTCCATCAAACATCTATCAAAACATGACTTTCACTATCTGCAGATGTTAGAATTCATAATACATTTTTCTAATGTATCCTGTACATATTAAATAATCTAAAAGGCTCTTCTTGTAGTGCATTAACAATTTAGCAAGCACACTCAGTATTTCTCCAGTACCATTTGCATTACAGTTATTTGCCCGCAAATGTAATTAACATCTAAAAGTGCACACAGTTAGGTCTCCCTCCCTCCCCATAACCTGTTTCCCTGCTGAAACCCAGACATCCACTGGAAACATTATGCTACTGTAGCTCATCTACCCATGATTAGAAATGTGTGACTAAAGTGTTCTTAAACTATACAGGAACTGACTTATATACAGGAATCAAAAGGACAGCCTGTATTTACATCAAGAATGAGCTTCCACTACCACAGCATTATACCAAGAACTCAGTACAGTGTTACAGTCGGTATTTACTTAGGACTTTAGCTTTAGATCAGTATAACACAAAACTTAGGACATACCCTGAAAAAATGAACATGTTTATTAAATATTACTTCTATTATGCCCCACGACAAATAACCACTTCTGGATATTCTTGCAAGTTCAGTGTTTGAAATAGTGTAATAGTGTGCTGCTCTATGAAGCAGCAAAGAACTTCCAGAGAGGCTGCTGGGGAAAAAAAAAGGATGAAAGAAAGAAAGAAAGAAGTAAAAAAAAAAAATCCAAAAAACAGACAAACAAACAAACAAAAAAAGAAAGAAAAAAAAAGCTCCACAAAAAACAAGACAAAAAAAAAAAAACCAAACAACCCCAACAACAGAAAAACAGGAGAAAAAGAAGGACAGAGGGCAGCAGACATCAAGAGAAGAATTAGATTTGAACAACTAAACCAAACTGTTAGCACAAGTCTAGGACAGTCACGGCATGCAGAAACCCCTTGGAAAACTGTCATACAGATCTAAGTACGTTGTAATAAACAAGCTTAAGATGTAACTTCACTGAATTTTTCCATACTGGGAAAAATGTAGACTTTTCCCCATCATATGGAAGAATTTTGAGATTAAATTCCAGATTATCCAGTCTGAGATTATTAGTTTTACTCTCCAAGAAATCCAGTGTATGAACCTATATTAAATTTTTCCAATGATACTTTAAAAAGGCAAACTATAAACTCTTCAATTCATTTTTTATATTGAACTTTTCAAAGAAATCTGAAGTGTTGTCTTTAATTTGCATTAAAGTGGTCAAACATTTCTCCTGTTTCTCCCCTCCCAAAAAGTGCAAAAAAACAAGTTGCGGCTTGGTCCACAAACATAAAACATCATATACAGCAAGAGGTTTTCCTTCTGATGGAGTACTGCTGCCAACCCATCACTTCCAGTTTCTTCTCCAAGAAAAATGTCAGCGTCCAAAGATGGAATTCAATTCCAGCAGAATTAACTCTACAATCTGATTCTGGTACACTGTGTGGACTGCTATGTTACCAGTCTCTTTCTCTGGTTTTAATAAGGTTGGACCAAAAACTATTGCTATACTTTGATAGGTCATTCGGTTCTTTTCTCCATTTTCTACAACTCTGAAAGAGAAAACAGTACACAAGAAGAGATTTATCAGTGTTAGGGCAACAAGATGACAGAAAAAGACACATCCCAAAGCAAATGGCTATTCAGAGTATTTATTTAATGAGTAGTCTTGCTATTAGGACATACAGTTGCTGTAATTCCCCTCTCTATGAAAAAAGTTTTGTTTTGAAACGTCATTCTTGGTCCTCTCACAGTCCCTCTAAAGGACTTGGCAGCAAACATCACAACTATGCAACATACTGTCTCAAGTCTGGTGCTCTGCAATCTCATATCCAAACAGACTGATACATGCTTTTATCAAGTCCAATATCAAAAAATGCAGTAAGAACATTCACTTGGTACTTTAAGTTGAATTCTTTATCTTTAAGGAAGGATTAGCAACGCAAAGCCTTTCCTTCTATCTGTTACTTACCTTTTCAGGTGTCTAAAGAGTACCTGCATCGTGTCCTGGTTTGGTTTTGGCAACTGTTTGATTAAATCTTTAACAGCAGGGACACGCTGCCTTGGTTCTTGCTCTGCAAAAGGGTGAGGTTGAGAAACAAAAGTTCAGTATTTTTGTTTAAAGCTTGAGCATAAAATTTAAGAGGCTGGGAGGGAAAGCCACGGTTTGTAGTGCCAATCCGAGATAGGACACTGCCACCTCCCGGCCGGCCCCGGCAGCACGGACAGGCAATTCCAGACAAGTCACCCTCTTCACAACCAGATCATTCTTACGTCCCAAATAATTTTTAGAATTGTACAGGACTTATCAAACACCATATGCAAGTTCTACAGACTTACTAATTGCATTGACAAAGTCATTGAAGTGGTTGTAAGTGAACAGCGGCTCTGGCAACTCTCTGAAGAACATTTTTAGAGCTCCTGTAATGACATGTATATCTTCCCATTTGCTGTCATTCAAGTCCAGCTTCTCATCTGAGAGAGAAAAAGAAATAATTAATGATAATACTTTGACTATAAAAGCTCTTTTTTTTTTAATAAACTCAACTATCTTCTGTATTTATTGATTTCAAAGCAGGGAAGAGTTGCTCTACTTCAGCACATTCCGTATCCCAATCTGGGATACAGAGCTGCAGCAGCAGATGGAGATGGCTAAACTCTGCCTACTGCACTACATACAGTTCCCCTACTCCTAGGGCATTTTCCAGAAGGGAACAGGAGCTGCTGACATAACACAAAATTTACTGTTAGATTCTGTCAATCAGGAAACGAGAGGTCAGATTCTGGATGGGCTACAGTAAGATACTGCCAGAAGAAAGGGTTTTACATACAGAGTACAGTGAAGAGGAGCTCAGCCCTCCCCCCACTAAAAGGCAATAGCAAATCTCACTTAAAAAAACCATAAACTTACAATTTTCATGCTAGTGAAAGCTTAACATGCTTACTGTTTTTCCATAAGGTGGTGAGTTATTTTGTTTGAAATAATTCCCCTACCTCAAATTCTATTACCATATTTTTTTTAGAATTCTGTTCTAGCAATGCCTCTATGGTCCACACGAAAGTAAACCTCCAGAATATCAGGTTTTTCAAGTAATGTATGTTACATAGTCAGCTCTATAATTCTAAAGTAACTTTACTTCGAGGATGACTGTCATTTCTCGTGATCTACTACAGAGAAATCTTTTTCCTTAGCTTTCTATGGACTCAAACAATCTGAAAATATATGCCATTGTAATGTAACTGGAGAAAGCTTACCATGATTGACTGCAAATCTCAGCTTCTGTATCACTGCAAGATTGCCACTAACTCTGTATAAGCCATCAATATCTAATCCTGAAACAAAGGGATAAATCCATTTTAATAACTTATATATGTATAGGTCTACTCAGCAAAATTAAAGCAAAGGAAACCCACCTTGTAACAAAGAAGTAAAAACTTAAACTAGCTTGTTTTGATGGACAGGGCATATAAAACAGAGGGGGTTTAATTTGCTGACACAAGTTTGGCAGCATCGAGGTCAAAGTAATCTCTAAAACTTCATATTCAAGTAGTAATGAGGCAACAGCTCCAAGTTTTCCAGATGAGATCAGATGTCTTGTTTAAGATGCTCTTGGTGGGTGGGCAGGGAATACATGGGAGTCCAACATGCAATAACCAGGTATTTTGTGGATACAATGTTCAATTTTTAATGTATGGTTAAGGAAAACCCAATCAAGTCATGCATAGAGAGCATCTGAAAGTTGTCAAGTGACCAGGCCCACATGGAGAAGGAATGATGCACATGCACGCTCAGAGCTACCCAACAGCCTACAGAACTAAAATGGGCAGCCCTTACAGGGCTTTACAGGACTGCACACTTGACCAGAAAAGAAGAAAACTGTGTCTCTGTAGTTGCTACTGCAGTTATTCAGCAGTGATTAGGAGGTAAAGAATTTATCTGAGAAGCCACTTGGATGCAATAGGTGAGTCAGTGCCACTGAGAGGGTGAGTGTTGCCAGAATACCTGCAAGTCCCTGTAGCTCCTCAAGGAGTTGTTTGATGCAACACAGCACAGTTACCAGCACCATCTGACATATCCCTTTTCCCCAAAATCCACTAGTCATTCCTTTACAGAAAGAACTGATTTGAAGTGTATTGGTAGAAGGAGGAAGAGTTGGAGAGGTAGGAAAAAAAAGCTGTTCATTTCTGTCAGCTCTCCCTCAGGTATTTAAAAAAGGAAAACTTCACTATCTTCACTGCAGTCCTGCCTTTAAAATAAAAAAAATAAAAAATAAAATAAAAAAAAATAAAAAAAAAAAAAAAATAAAATAAAAAAAAAAAAGGAAGAAAGAAAAATAACTCCTTTCTCACAATCTTTAGATCACAAACGGAGTAAAGCCTGCAGCCACAAGCAAGGTGGCAGTTTGTCAAACTGGAGTAATGCAAGAGAAGCAGTTTTTCTCCCCTCCCAGGCCATAAGATAGAAGCATTGACAAAGAGGACTACAGGCTAAATGAAGTTCCCATGGAAGATGCCTTAGAATTCACATGTATTTCCCTGTAAAACTTACCCTGATACTCAAGGGCATGTTCTCAGATTAACGAACTGGTAAATATCTGAATGATGATTATGGAGATTCCATAATCCCCTCTCAGTCATCTTTTCCAAGAGATAAGGTAAACACAACAGCAAGAAACAGGCAAGAAAACCCACAGAGACTACAGCCAAGTCTGGAGTCACAACCAACAAATTTTCAGCAAAAATGTGAAGGTGTGCTTTACAGCAGAAAAGCCAGAATGTCACATGTAGCTTTGAAACAAAGTGTTCTCAGTTGTTAGGTAGGAAATACATATTTTCAATCAAAACAAACAAAAACTGAGTCAATGTGGACACTGATAATCTCAAGAATCGCATAAAATATAGCAATTTGTGTAACTGGCTGAAGGGCATCAAACCAACAGGTTGGTCTTCTGGCAGTCAGTGCATACACAGAGCAGGAACAGAACTTTTTCCTAAAAGTTCATTTCAAGGAAGTTTTAACAGAAGTGACTGTTAGCATGCTTAAACCTTCCAAAAATGAATAGCTGCATTTCAATAGTCTCACTTTTAATCTGAAAAAAAAAACTTGATGAGCTGAGCTCTTCTACTACTTCTTGTAATCCCTCTTCCTTTGGAGCCTTGCTGCCAGGAGGCTGTCCTGCCTTTTCCTCAGTTTGAAATATACTGAAGCAGATTAGTTTCTCAGACATAAGATTTCCTCCCCTCTTCCCACTATGGATCCCACCTATGTCCTCACCCTTGAAAACCCAATGCTAACTCCAGGTACAAGTTTCAGATTATCTTCCCCAAATAAACCAACAGCATTTTAAGATTAAAACGTTCAACATTAAGGCTGGTGAGCTAGAGAGATTTGTAAACAAAAAATTCAACCATACCATGTTCCTCAACATGCTCAATGCACAGCTTCACGAACTTTGGCACCGTGCTGTTTTCTCTTTGACACAAGCTGGTGAGATTTGAACCAAAAACTTGATCTGGAACCAAGTAAAGAGACTGATTTACAGTGGAACAGGCACAAGTGACAGAACTAGTTCAGGTTAAAACAAACCTCTACAAAGGGCAAAGTCTACTGGATACAATTGTCGCAGCATTGGAGAGGAAATAGGAAAGTTTTGAAAAGAGTTCTCAGCAGCTCCCAGCGAGAAAAGCTCCCAGTAAGAAGAGAGTCAGCAGCTACACAAACGTGAGCCTCCAAGAAAGGAAGTTTTGCCACTGAAATCCTTTTAATCCATCAGGTGATACTTTTAAGAGTCATTTCGTCAATAATGTTATAAGAAATGCAATGGATTCAAATGTGTCCTGTTACACTCCATTCCTGTCCCAAGTTCAACATGCATTTATTGCAATCTTTGTTAAAAATTCAAAGAGATAGTGAACTTTAACCAGAGTGAAAGCTTTTGGCATTGCTTGGGAAAAAACCCTGCAAAATGTCACCTTTCACTGCACCCACTGTTTAACACAGCATTATATATTAATTTACTTTATTGTAGAGTCTTCTGACATTTTTAAGTTCTGACACAAATTTGTAAATGATAGATTTCTACCGCAGAGCTCTGAATGGATGCAAATCTGACCATGCATAGGCAACCTGGCTGCAAGGTCAGAATCTAAATACAGATATTTATGGGCAATGGTAAATCTGAATCTTATTTTCAAAACTACACAATCCAGGGGGAATATTTCCCATCATAAAGTGGAGCAAAAATGAAAATTAGCTTGGACAGAGAGGAGAATCTTGCGATGTCTCAGTGAATTTTAGCAGCTTGTCAATTCTTCTTGCTCAGATTGTTATCACCAAAACATTTGATAGATCCATTTCTATGGCTTTCAGCAAAGTTGCCCAAATAATAGATGGCCTCTTCTGCAGAGATGCATGAGGGTGACATGGGGTCTTGTGACTGAGAAGCAAAGATTCCACTCTTAAAGGGAAGGGTTGTTTGTTGGTTTGTTTACTCTGTTACATAAGTGGCCATCTTCACAGAATCTGGTGTATCTTACTTCAGAGCTTCTGCAAAAGAGAGACTGCTCTTGCATTTGCATCATGCACAGCATCTAGCCCATTGTTCTTGTTCAATAATTTAAGTAGATTAACAACGCTTGCATCTTGACTAGTGCTTTGGGAAACCCAAACAGCACACCAAACCAATTTTACAGTACAAAAATGGGCATTTAATGGCATTATTAGCTAGACATGATAAGGCCAGTGGTCCACACCACCTCGGTGCTGTGGCAGCTACTCACGCAGCGAGCTTTATAAGCAGAATCAGTAGCAAAGGATTGAAAAAGCCCACGCAGCAGAAAGCCAGGCTAGCATGCAGCTGTGGCAGGTAAAGCAATGCAGATTAGGTAGCAGAAGAAAATAGTAGCATGTAACAAAGTAATTTCCTACAATTGCCTTCGACTTCAATAATTTCAGCATATACAGAAGTAGTATTTTTTCTTCACATCTTAAAAGTAATGTCTGTACTTTTGGTTTTCCATGTAACAAATCTTTAACACAGTTCCTTCTCCACTTAGTGCATGCTGTTTCAAGTGGATTTTTTCTTCCAGAACTTTTCACTAATTTTTCTGCTCATACTGGATTTGCCAAGCTTTCCATTTACTAAGCTTGTTCTGCAGCAGTCACAAAAGTAGACTGGGCTTTTAAATGAAGACTTCTGTATTCTTCATTCATACAATGAATGTAAAGCTGTACACTGCCCATCCAACTTTTAAAACTTACACCATGCTTTTAAATAAAAACCAAACTCCTCATTCCTTAATGCCTTTATTAAAAATCCAATCATTAGCACGCACATGTACAAATTAAACTTGGCTTAGTGTTCACTGTTGCCAAGGTCAGAAGTTACGTCACTGAGCCATGACATGAATACTAAGTTGTAAAGCAGAGCAAAATGTCAAAGTCTGGGAATAATGCTCCCTTATTCCAAACAAAATTTCCATCATTTACAAGTAAATTATATTTGCAGATACACAAATATATCAAATGCCACATGCAACAGAAGCACACCTGTTAAAGTATGCGGTGAGGCAAATCACAGTAGGATTTGGTCTGGTATTTGCCTACCCATATGCTATTTTGACCCTAGTAGAACACCACCTACAAGTCCTGCTAAAGCATACAAATAAATAAATAAAGTTTTACAATGAGTACCAAGTCAATAGTATACACAAACACATTAACTTAAACCTGTGCAAATACTGTTCTCTCAAATTTCTACAAGTGTGACAAAAAGAAATCTTTCATAACTTTGATTCAAGAGTATCTGTAACACTCTTTGTGAAACAATTAAAACAATGTAAACATTCAAAAAAGGTAATGGGAAAAAGATGTTTAAGTTAAGACTCATGTAACCTCATCCTGGTTTTCCCAAATATTTAATTTCTTATGATATGGCACATGATTGTCTGGTTCCACACAGACTACAACACCCTTGTGAAACGGGTGAGCACACGCACTCAGCTTTGTACCCAAAGGACTGTTCTTTCCTGTTTGCACAAATGAGGGTCAGATATCTGGATTTCCAGCTCAGAAGGGTGGAATGCAGTGCTTCTTAGCTAGAGAGTCCAAGTCCAAACGGGCTCCTGGGCCCCCAGTTTTCACTGCAGTTTGGCCAGCACTGAGCCGAAGGAGAGGCATCCCCCGAGCAGTTTAATGGCTAGTCACAGCACTCAGAAGTACAGCAATCACCAGTTCCACTATACATCCAAGACTTTTGTTAAACCAACTATACACATGTATTTTACTCTGAAACTAGACCATTTTAACCCCATTTTACACATCAACTACTAAATTCAGCTTTTCAAATTATGTCCTTGGTTAAAAAGGTTCATTTACCCTTAATGTAGCCTTTTTCACGGACAGCTTGTAATGTAGGGCGCCGTGTAAGAAACTTCTTCAGCTTCGTTTTGGTCTTTTTCTGATCTGTGGAGTCTATATTGCTGGGTGCTTTCACTGCTGAAAAGAGAAACATATTTAGCATTACTACCCACAGAACCAACACTGCATTTATCAGCCAAGGAACCAACATTAAAAGAAAAAAAAAATTATGCTCCAACACACAAAAAACCTACTCGAAGTTGCAACTCATCCCTAACTTTTTCCTTAACTTTCTGGAACTCCTTGTAAATACCATCCATTTCTCAAACTACCAAGAGACAACCCTGTCACCAAAAATTTGCAAAGCCAACTAAACAGTAGCTTACATATGGAATTGATGTGGAAATTTAAAAATGCAGATATGTTTCAAAACCAGTCCTGCCTCTCATTAGGTTAACTATCTTGAAAGAAATAAATACATTTTTGAAAATTACATACAGAGGCTGGAAGGAAAGGAGAGAAAACAGTTTGCCTGGTAAGTCAGATACTATTTCTGTACATTTGACAACACCTTGAAAATAATTAATTTCACCACTGCTTTTCCCATGTTTTAAATGTGTCATACAACAGGAGCTAAATACATTTCACACTTCTTTTCTTCTTCTTCCTTTTTTGAAGTATGATTAATAAAATATGGAAGAAAATTTACCAAGTGGCATCAAGAAGTAGAATGAACTATATTAAGATTGTTTCCAAACTTCAATGGTTTCATTTTTAGCAGTCCTTTTGAATTCTTCCCTATTTACACATAATACTGAAGATGCAGAAAATGAAAACTGCCATTGGTAGAATCAATTAATGGAAAATTTTCAACTCACAACGAAGTTTCTTAGAGTCTTTATTTTCTTTCTCTTTCTCTTTGTCTTGTTTTTCCACTCCGGGGGAATCTGGTACCTCATCATCTAATGCTTCATCAGACTCTATTACCTGTTGGATTTAAGAAGATAGGCCGTGCTCAGCTTGCCAGTTCAGAAAATACAGAATTAACACACACATTTCCTGCAGACAGGTCTACAATACACAATTTTTCTCCCTATAATGACATCCAGTTTGCTCTTTCCTGAACTCTAGGTGTTAAACATCTTCAGGGACAACACCACTCTGATTTGCAGAGTGAGTAACTCTGAGAAACACTATTTCATCATAAGACTCAATAAAGAAAATGTTGCTGGACACTGAACAAAGTACAACCAGACTTTCATGATAGCACTTCATTACATCAACCAATAAATAACAAAAATTATTTTTGGTTGGGCTTATTTTCCAAATCCAAGAGGCAAACATCAGCTATTTAATGGTCTGCCACAGAAATGCCTGACTGAAAGAGCAGAAAAAATTTCTAGAACATTTACCCAATTTGTTTTCCCTATAAGTACAATTTTCTTAATAGAAAATTGAACTATTCGCTGGAAAATCTCACTACTGTCAACACACACACCGAATTCACTCTGAAAAATAAGTGTACCAGTGTCTAGAATTCTTTCCCAGTGTTCCTGCTATCTCAGCATATTCTCATTAAACATTGACAAGTGAAAACACAGATCATGATGAAGCGTGGAGGCACATAGCAGAGTCTGCTGATCTTACCTGCAGCCCAGGCTACGTGCATGACTGCAGACATACCAGGAAACGGGGAAAGAAACTTCTTCAGCTTCAGAACAACATATTCCCTTCCCAAACTGTGTGTCTTACTTCACTTCAAATGAAGTGAACTGGACTGCCAAGCAGTTGCCAAAATCTGACTGCAGAGTGCTTTCTTTTACAAGGAAGGAAACCCTAAAAATGAGGCAAGGTTGTGCACTCCAGAGCACTGAGCAGCAGCATGACTTCCTGGACTACGATGTACTTTTACCTGTAGGGCAGTGTTAACTTTAAACACCTTCATTCCTGTTCCTTTTCAAAAGCCTTGGATAGCCTTTTTACACATCACAGATCAATATATTCAACTGCCCAAATAATGTCCCCATTAAGGATCCTCTGCCACTCTTCAAGAGCCCTCAAAGCTTTTTAGGATTGGAGCATTTTTAAACTGTTAAATGCTTTGGAAAAAAGTCACCTGGGATCTAGTTTGTGCTATGCAACATGTCTAAAGTAATAACGTGGAAATTTCTGTGTTTAAAAAAAGAGCAGCCACATCCTTTGCATGTTCCTCTTGTAGAGGATATTGCCACAACAGCAGCCTGAGGGAGCAAAGAGAACAGAATCAGATCTGCCCTTTCTTTTGAGGAAGATCTTGTCATGCTAGCAATAGTACCTCGGCCATGGGAAAGAGATCACAGCTACTATCACCATAAACTTTCCAAAATTAAAAGTTGGCTTCAGATCTGATGGATTTTTGTACCCAAAGCCTAAGTGCTTCAAATTATCAGGTAGTCTAATGCACTTTCTTGATTTATGCCTTGTAGTCTTGGGTCTCTTGGCTACCAGCTCCCAGCAGTATACATCACCACTTCCTCCAGAATGCTGATAAACTCTCCTTATTCCACCATTCCTCAACCTAACATGTAATACCTCATATCTCAGCATATCTCAGCCTTTCCATCTTCACTCATACTTAAGCAGGGAAGAAGTGGCCTCAGTTGTGTTACACAGAGCAGACAGGAGAAGGGGTCACTGAGTGACTGGGTGACACTGCCTTGCCTGGTTATTAAGGGCCATGACATTTCCATACCAGGAGACAGCAGATTAGGAACCTAAACTACAAGTGCTCAGAAAGTAACTCAACCATTCATATTAGCCTGCTGTGTTTTGGTAGAAAACACCCATACATGAAAAGCACTAACAGAGCTAAGAGAAATTAAAACCACTGACTGTAGCCATGATATTTTATGAAAAATCCTTTTCTAGGATTTTTTTCTCCTGAGAAGCTGAGAAGCCTCAGGAAAGAAATGTAAACAATAACTACCTGCTGCCATGGAATGCAACAGGTACATCTGTGATTGGTGCAGGTGGGTTATTTCTAATCACAGCCCGCTGGCTCGGACTCTGGGAGTCAGGAGCCTTTGTTATTCATTCCATTCCTGTTCTTTCTAGCCTTCTGATGAATCCTTTTCTCTCTATTCTTTTAATATAGTTTTTAGTATATCATTTTAATATAATATATATCATAATGTAATAAATCAGCCTTCTGAAACATGGAGTCAAGATTCGCGTCTCCTCACACAAAGCATCGACCGTAACTGACTAGCATTGAAAGCAACAAAACTGAGCTTATGGACAGCAGACAAGCCTGGAACTATTAAAAAGTAAGAATACAAAGAAGTAAGCTTGATAGAGAGCAGTGTTTTCTCCAAGATCTCCTCCAACTTCTGAATTAAAAAATTGTTAATCCTATTTGGCAGTATCACAAGCAAATGCTTGAGCACTTCTCTGATAACTAAATACTTGGCATTGTGCTGTCAGATGAGAAGAGATAATACAGTATTTTGCCAGGACTTTTAATCTGCACTTCAGTGCAGCCATAGTAAGTGAAGAGCAGTATCAAATGCTAATAAATGTATGTCAATAAGTTGTCCCTTGGCCATCCTCCCCCTTTCATTCCCTCTCTATCAGAACCTTTCAGGTCACTGAGACAGAACAAGTATTTGGCTGCAGAAATAAGTTCATTTCTGAGATGGATGTCAGCCCACACCTCCTGCATCCTAAGCCAGTGGACCATCTTTTTCCCTTTGCCACTATTAATTATATTTCACTCACCACCACCAGGAACTGCCATATCCTCAAACACGTGCCTGCTCTCAAGAAAATCAGTAAATGAAGATGCAAAATTTTAGAAATTGTTATATCAATTAGTTTACTAAATAATATTACCATGAAAATAGAACCATCATGATATAAATACATACCTGATTATTGATGGTGTAGTTAAGAACTTTATACCATTCATTAATAAAGCTGTCATTATCTGATTGAATTAAGAGCTCAGTGCCTTGGCGGGTTTTTAGCTTTAAAGAAATAAAACCAGACATCATCAGAACTGATAAACACTTTACAGTTCAAAAGGAAAATCACTTAAATCAAATTAAACTTCTCACTGGCAAAATTGTTAGGTAATACACAGACTGACACTGAAGAACATTTACCAGTGAGAACAGCCATTAACAGTCTGCATAAAATTGTAAAGCATATCCCATACAGACATATTAAAAATGGACATTTCTTGCAGGTACTAACAGTTACATTTAAGCAGGTAGAAGTAGATAAAATTCAGTTTTATGAGTTTTTAATTTTAAGCTTAAAGAAAATTTCATACATTGCTAATTGAAGTGCATACAAGTCTGTATTTAAATAAGATAATTTACCTCAATAACATTCTTTTTGCTGGATTTGTCCTTCGAGGCCCAATCAATCAAAGCCCCTTTGAGATCCACTGTAAATTCTGGCTTAGACTGATTAACACCAAACTTCTGGAAAAAATTACGAACAGTGATGATAAAATTAAACCTGAGGAAATTCTTTACAGTCTTATAATCTTTTAAATATAATACGTATTATTTATAGTCTATACAGCTTAGACCAGATACAGTACTTTGCCACCAACCAACAAGTATGTCACCAGGAAAACAAAAAACCTTCCACAGAACAATCTTTAAGCATGTCTGTTACAAGCTGCTCAGCTTAAAGCCCTCAAAATTCCACAAATTTAAATGCCAGTCAGATTCCAGCAGGGATTTTTTTTTTCCTATTACAAATGGTAGAAGTCCATACAACATTTGACTGTAGCTTGGTTTTAGCCAAGATAGTCCCAAGCTTTAAACAAAACCAGCTAATAAGTAACTGAACAAAACATCCCCAAACATTCTGCCACTTAATCAGTGGTTGCATATAAAACCAAAAATCAAACCAAAAACAGTAGGCTTGCTGGACAAGAATCACATCCCTGCACACTCAAAGGGCACTCTCAAAGTTTGTACATTTCTCTATTTATAATTTTTTTTAAATATTTACCCCCCCGACACTTTTACACTTTTCTGTAGTGCTTCTATTGCAACACTGGAGCATGTCCTACCAAGTAAACAGAACTCACTGTCTGTCTACTAAAGACCAAATAACCCACAAGTAACCCTTCAAACAATTTGGAGGAAAACCTCAGGGATCTATTCTTACCTCCTACGTTCACATTTATACCAGGTATCAGAATTTTTAAAATAAAGTACTTTTACTATGATTTCAACACACACCACATAGCTTTGAAATGTAATTCCTCAAGGAAACCAGTTCAGTGGACCCACACAAACAAAAAGTTCTAATTGCGAGTGACACGAGTAAAATATGGAACAGGGAAAGCTGGAATTCCCTCATTTATAGCACAGAAATTTCCTGCTGTAGTTCCAGGGAAAGCTTGTAGCATCTGCTCCCCCAGAAATGTTCTTATTTCTTCTCGAAGCCTTTGATGTGTGAGTGCAGTTCCTGTGACAGCTCTGGGGGACCCAAGCCCCAGGACAAGCTCCTTGCTGCAAACACAAGTTTCCAGCCTGTGCAAGAACAGCCATACCCAAGGGGAGAAAAGATGGTTCAGAAAACAGGACTACTCTGCTGCTTCTGATTAAACTCCCAGCATGGATGTTAATTAATGCTAATTATGTTTCAGAAAGGCTGTTTACCGCTGGAAAATCTCCACGTCTAGAGTCCTAAGGGCAATGAAGTGTTGAACAGAAAGCAGCATCTTAACTTCTTTATTTTCCCCATGAAATATCAGAATAGGGCTGTACTTCTAATTTACCGGATGACAATTAGCACTTGGGAAAAAAATCCACACCACCTTCTGCTTTTTAACTTAATTCTCAGATACCTCATCCAAGAACATTTTTTATTAATTATAGTAGAACTTTTGAAAGAAGCCCAGCTCAGCAGCAGAGTCTGCAGGAACAATCTCTGGGCCATTTTTGGCTCTGGCAGCAGCTGCCCTTTCAAGAGAAAGTCCCATAACTGCTGCACACACATCCAAAGTGTCCCGGACGCACTTCCTGGCAGTCTAGATCAATCTTGCTGTGTGTTGGAAAAAAAATTAAATCAATTTATAGAGTTTGGCACTGGAGAGAACGGGAAACTAGTGCCAAAGTCCTCTACAGGATTGGGGCAGGGAGGTGATTAGTTAAAACCATGGCCCACATGATGCTGAGAATCACAGGACAGGACTTGCTACAGGTGATATCAGCACATAACAAGAAAAAAAATGTTACCTGTCAGTGCTGTTTTGATTAAAAGAAAAGCCCTCCACTACATTAGCTTGCTGAATCCACACCTGACAGATTACAGCACTATCCCCTACAGCTTTACACTGTACCCATCTTTTTTGGCCTGACTCCCCTGAGCATTTCAAAGAAGCACAGAAAAAAAGCAAAAACTAAAGCCAAAAAGGAAAAAAGACTTTTACCACTCCTTCTCTCAAATGTTGTCCAAACTGCTGTGTGAGAGCCAAGGACAGGGAAACCCAGGCAAATAATCCAGCTACCCTGCAAAGCTCTTCTTAAATACCAACACATTGCATACTTGTCACAACCTTTTTATTCAAGGACATTTTAAGTTTACCATGCAGGTTCTCCTTTGAGCTTTCCTGTCAAGGTTCTTTTCTGCTCCCAGATCTATGAAAATGAGAGTCCAGCAGCCATTTCCCTCTTTCCCTCCTTAAAGCTTTCAGGAGCAAGTTCTGCAAAGGGCTGCTCACACAACCTGCACAAAAAGGTTGCTGAAGGCAATTGAACCCTCCTGAAGCCAGCAGATTCTGCTGACAGAGCTCAAAAAAAAAGCCTTTCCTTTTGCATCTGCTGCCACACAGATATTAAGTCTGCTTTCACAAAACAGTGCTACCTAGCCAGCACCAGTCAAGAGAAAATCCAGCTCTTATTGAGCAGACACCTGCACTGGACCACTCTTTCTGGATTCCTCTTTTGAGCTGTCTGGGCATTTTGGAAAGGGCAGCAGTGTAAGACAGAAAGAGGGAGAGATCTAGATGTAGTGCTGCCAGCTGTCCTAGATATGAAGCTGTCCTACAGTCACTTCTGACACTTTTTTTTAGACAAAACATAGTCATGGGATGTACTCATGCTGCTTGTATGGGAGAGGTAACTTTGGAAAGAAGAGGGTGCTTTCATTGCTTTAGATAGAGAGGATGCTGTGCAGCTTAAGGACAGCCTTGAAGATATGTATTGACATCAATAAATAGAAGGCCTTTTCAATCTTTTCAGGATTTTCTCCAAGTCCTGGAAGCCTGCACAGGGACAAACCACACATTCTAGCATTCTTTGGAAACAGAACTGGAAGTTATTTATGGGAAGACTTTGGATGTACAAATGACACCTAACATTCTTGTAATTCTGTTTCTAATTAGATTTGGTAGGATGCTTTAATTCCAAGTCCTCCTCATCCATGTATGGACTGTGGAAAAAAGGCTGTGGAGACAGATGCACCTTTTTGGCTGGCAGGGGAGTTTCAAAACTACAGCTTCAGGGAAAAAAAAAAAAAAAAAAAGGAAAAAAAAAAAAGAAGAAAATATATTCTTCATCATCACAGCAAAATGATGGATTGTTTTTAAACCAGACTGATAGGAGCATTTGCATTGCAAAAGGTTTACACAAAAGCATCTGAGCTCCTGCATAATGAGCAGTCCAATATTGATGAACTGTAATGTACACAACACCCTTGGCTAAAATCACAGTTGTGTAACATCAACAAGAGTTTGCTTAGATGAATCTTGAAGAGGATCTATTTCCTTGATGTTTGGGATGTTTACAGGCTTGGTTTGCCACCCCTATACTTGTCACTGAGGACATGGCCCTATTACAGAAAGCTGACAGATAAATCCTTCTAAGCAGTTACCATTTTCTTTGCTTTATGAAGCCCTGTCACTTTGACAATAATACATGTCATTCACACCAAGAACTGAGTGAAAAATGCTTTTAAAAAACATCCAGATCATCTTATAATAAGTAGCCTTTTACAAGGCTACCAAACTGTTCACAAGTTATCTGTTCCAGGCTTCCACATACAGAACAATTAATTTCACAAACAAGAAAAAGACAGTTGCATCATTTTAGACACAAGGTTAATTTATGAATTTTTGATAGGCAGCTCTTCTGTGCTTGGCATTTTCAAAACATAACTACAGATGCTTAAATTACATATAGAAGTCCTACAAATTTACATCAGTTTTCTGTATGTGGAATATAGCCAGAACATCCTTGTGCTCTTTTCCTTTCACCTCTTCATGCATAACATTTACATTTTTGGGATATTCCACTTACAGCTAGAATTATCAAACAACATGTACACCATTGTATCAAAGGTATATAGGCACCATACAAAGATTCCAAATTAGTTGTGTTAGAATGAATCAGACAAAATATCTGTTTAAAAACTCAGAATATCATGCTGCTTATTAGTCAAGGCACTAGTGGTTCATATAGTAGGCAAATTTGGGATTATAATTCTAGTACCAATGAAACAGGACGCTTTCTACTTTGTTCCAGTGGAACAATTACAGGATTATTGCAATAAACTTGTGTTAATTTGCACCTTGGATGACTTTCAAAAACAGCAAACAAGACACGTGAGCTGTTATATGAAATGTCAAAATGAAATCTTGGAACAATTCAAGTTTACTTTCAGGATTAGTGGCAAATAGCCTTACAGTGACAAGAGGCATGCAACAAGAACACATACAGTGATAGCTGAAACTTGGGCAGAGTTTACATAGGTGACAGCAGGTCGATGACTGAGAACATTTTTCCAAGAAGAAAGCAGCGAGAGCAAGAGCTCAGGAATTGAGCCCCCTTGGCAAAATGACTTGATGAGAAAAAGGAAGAAAAGTGATGAAGTCAAAAAACAATGCACAAAAAAAGAAGATATGGTTAAATCAATCACTAGATGAATGCTAAATATTCTCATAAGGTGAAGAAGAAATGCAATTCTTATCATATGTCAAACTCTTAGACTTGACTTCACCCTACCAAAATATGGACACAGAACAAGTTTGAGAGGTGAGGTGGAATTTTGAATACCTAAAAAACAAAAATTGCCTATGGAGACCAAGAAGAGTGTGTGATGAACACTCAGTTACATATCTACAAAGTCAGCTATGATTATGCAGGTGTAAAACATTAGGTCCTTGAGAAAGATTCTCTTTTAATATTTCCAGTTTAATTTTATTCTGTTTGTATTTTTGATATTTATTTTGCTGACCCTACTCTAGTGCTTTACAGTACACACAATTGATAGTGTCTCACAGAAATATTCTGACTATGGGAATTCTGCTCCACTTAAATTATCAAAAGAATTTACACATTTATATTTTTAAATTTATTTGTTAAGATTTTTATTTATTTTTCAATTATTCTATCTGGCATAACATGGCTTACACTAGTGCCCATAAATCATGCAACTCTGCTTATAGCTTATATTTTATGGGTAATTAATTTGGGCACACACCATTTACAACATTATCATATATTCATGAACAGTTTAGCATTGTGTGTTTTAATGATATCAATATGCAGCTGAAAAAGACAGTTCTTTTGTTTTACAGCCACACCTGAATTAAGAGCTACACAGGCAAAACTTTTACTTTGCAATATGCCTATTAATAGCTGTAAAACTGAAACACTTTTTGGATCTTTGGCTGCAAAAGTCAATCACAGAAGTCACCAAAATCCACCCCCTGCCATACAGTGGAATTTACCCTCTTTCATGCCTTTCACCTTTATTGTTTTCTTTCCTCCCTCTGCTTGACCATCTTGCCCAACTTGAACTTTTTCATTCTCTTCTACTCCAAACTTTATTTATCCATCCTCACCTATTTTTTTCCAACCATCCCTTGTGTAGAAGGGGGGGGGAAATATATTTACAGGTCTGAAAAAAAACTCAGTACTATAGAAAGGAATTGTCAATTCCAATTCATTATCCATAATGAAGCACAGCAGGAGAAACTGAGCCAAGTAGAAAGACCAGTAAAGCACAGCAAGATAGCACAGATCTGTTAGAGGCAATTTTGCTGGAATTCACATGACAATACATGGAAATAATGAACACTGGCTCTGGCCTGTCTTTACTTATTACAGGAGACCCACACAGTTTAATGTCAGACCTCCAAAAGAGGCTATGAAAGCCATTGATAAAGAGTCATTTCTATACCTATTAATGTAGGAATGTAGCTGGATAAACATAGCAAATTTAATGATAGTGCTACTGCACTAGAGGTGACAAAAAATTGAATAATCATCATCTTCAGTGTGATGTTTCTTTTGGTCTTCATCAGCCAAGAAAATAAGTACAAGTACTCGTCATGCACTATGAAGACTAAAACAAAATATGGAATCCAGCAAGACAAAGACTAAATCATAAGACAACAACACTGCAATGCTCAAATAGGCCAAAGCAAGAAGCCATGTGTCAGACTATTTTCTTTATTATGTGTATCACATCCAAAATTACCTGGACTGTTTACCAAAAAATCTCCAAGAATGGTAAAACACACAAACTCTTTAGACAAACACATTAGTAAAGACCACAAAAGTATTTGGAATGGAAAAATAACTTCAAGCCTAAGGAGCACCTGAATGTTATCAGTTTCTTGCCTGTCAAAAATACATACATACAACTGGTTTTCTTCTTACTCTACATCACAATTACATTATGGTTATGTTAAACTATTTTATGCCAACTTCTACACAGGTATTTTTTTCTGTATTAGGTGTATCTATATAGGTATTTAGACCTTGCAATAAGAGGGTTTTCGTTTACTGAGCTTTATATGACTAACACTTCAGTGAGGGTGGGGGTTGTTCCTGGGCTTACCCAGCCAGTTCCACTTCCTTGGGTTTTAGTGAACAGCAGCGATGACCCTTGTAACACTGCCCATGATGACATCCAATTCTTTCTGTAAATAATCATAAACAAACATAAAATAAATTGACTCTGAAAGCAGATATTTAAACCGTCGATCATTGTTGCTCAGCTGACCTGTAAGTTAATATAGTTAAGCACGTATATAGTCATTAGTGGCAGCAGTAAGTCTTAATTGCTATCATACTTGTAGAAGGAAACATATGTTAACAATCCCAGCCTGACCATCAAAGTCTAAATCAAACAAAGCTAATTAGTAGTAGAAGCAGTACGCCAAGAGAAACACCATGCAATTATAATTTCAAAGGGGCTAATCTGGAAAGCTCAGCTCACTGTGTACTTAACAGATCATGCCAAACTACTGCATAATTCTGAAATTCATTCATCTGAAATGCAACTGTCCCATGTTTATGTAATAAGCTCATTTATATTGGCAAAAAAAAGCACTTCCTACACATCTAAAAAATTAAGAGAAAGAACAAGTTGTTTCAGTTGTATGACTATTTGATTTTATGCCAGCAGACCCATCCTCCTGAGATTATATTAAAAAAAAAATCTTGACAAGCCCTGAATATCTATTCCCATCGCCCAACATGAATTATTACTCAACAGCTCTCAAAGTGACAGGATGGCCACGATGCCTCTTTCTGTTCAGCAGTGCAACAATCCAAATCAATGATTCCAGCAGATGCAATGTAAATGATGACAGCACGTTGTACCAGCAGCAGCTTGCACACGCTGCTGTCTACCCAGCCCTAGCAAACTCCTAGAAGAACTCCGAGAACCAGACTGGAGGTCAGATGTGCTGCCCAGCCAGACTGGACTAGGTCAGGGTGGGTCTACAATAACAGCTGGGTGTTGGCTATTTAATCCTCAGAAAAAGCAAGCTTCATGTATCACAACTCTGGGAAACACCGAACTAGATATAACACACTATTAGAGCTAAAAGATTAAATTAACCAAAAAACATTAAAAAGGGGAAAAAAGACAAGAAGCAAATCTAAATTAACTCTGAGGATGTGCCACACCTCTGCAGTATTTGTTATTGATTCAAAACACCAGAAATGTTGTTAGACAGCATCACCTGATTACACATTATGATTTATAGTGTAAATTGCTGCCTGGGACGCAGAGGAAAGTTAGAAATTAGGTCACTCATCACCTACAGGAGACTGACATTGGGCAATACACTGCTTCAAACCTTTCACAAGCACAGTGAAGGAAGAATTAGGGAGCACATGGATGTACAATCCTTGGAAGTTAAAGAACAGCCAGTGAAAGTCTGAAAGCTCCTCTTACACTGATTTCATCCAAGGAACAAAACACGCTATAAGCTATACAGATTTGTTCTTCAGTAAATCAATCAATCAATCCCATTTTAAAGAGCTCTCTCTCATCAATACACCTTCAGGAAATTGCTGGCCTGTGTGAAGCCCTGATCCATGAGCCTCTGGCTCTCTGCAGTCCATTATCTTTAGCTCACTGGGACAAACACATGGGGTAAGGCTAAGCTGTGCCATACAGGAAAACCTCTAAGGCAAATTCAGACAAAAAGTAAGAAGTTGCAAACCCCATTATGCTGTCCTAATACAAAACACCTCTCATAAACCCTAAGCACATGCACTTTTCAAGTCCAAGACTTACCGAACTTTCTTCCCATTTTCTGTGATTTTTGTCACATTTAATAACCCATACTTTTCTTGACCCTGTAAGACAAGAGTAAGACATAAGAAATATAAAAGAAAGTCTGCTTCTATTAGCATCACATCACAGAATTCAATCCCCCAAACAATCCATTTCTGGCAGTGAGCCATCTTTGCTCATGTCATAACTTCAAGAAACTGCATATTTAAATATTCACAGATCAGCAAAATCAAAATTCCTCTGGGAAAGTACTTATTACCATTCAGAGGGTAAAAAGCTTTCCCTCATCAAGACCAAGGTTCTTTGGACAAGCCAAATCAAATAATTTGTGATAGCAGACAGTAAAAATTCTGAATGTAAAATTTATAATTATTTGCATAATAGTAATATAATAATAGCAGAGTAGTCCTTTACTAAAAAAGGAGGTGGCTGACAAAAAAAACAGCCTAGATTCCCACATAAATTCTTCCTATTAATTTTAATATAATTTCTTATTTTAAATAAAACATGGTTGAAGTGCATAAAAAATTAACATATTCATGTTAAAACAGAAGAGTGAAGCATTTCTTTGATGTCCTCTTTTTTTCCTATCCCCATGGAAAATAGCAGAATTTTAAACTACTTAGTTATGTCTTGTTGATGAAAACCATCTATATTAGCATGGCTACAAAACAAATTTGAACACCAGTCAGTAACTGGTGGGAGAACACTGCTGAACAAGAAGGCTGTTTACAAGTTTCAAAGATTTTAAGTGAATATTTATAGTCTCTGTGTAAAAATAATAAAATGAAGGAAAAGCATTCTAGGATAAAAAGATTCACTTAAACTATCATCCTAAGATGAGGTATCAAAATCTAGCATTTTCTTCTGACACGCCAGCCTTGCCCGACCAGCCAGTGGTGCTAGAAGAATGCTAAATTATTTTATCATCAATTCCTTTTCAGTAACAGCTTCTAACAGTTCCTAATGTATGCAATAAGCTATTACTTGAAACAATCAACTAGGGAATGGATCGAAATTAGTTTTATCATTAAAAAAATGACCTCAATTCTAGATACAATGAAAATAGAAGATAAGTCCTCTTCAGAATTTTCCTCTAAATCTCAAATTTAAATGGACAATAAACACAATAAAATTTTGAAGAATTTTTTTTTTTTTTGCTAGGATACCATGGGCAACACTCTTATCTGAGACATAGCTCTGTTTTTCATGGACTTGAAAAATTCTACCTGCATGTTTCAAGCCCAGCACATAAAATACAGAAAAGACACATTAGCAAGGACAAGGGTGTTTAGCTGGCGGATCAGATGTTACTTCAGTCCAGTGGGAACTGCTGCTCTTACTCAGTTTAATATCTTCACTGGGCTGAAATGCTTTTCCAAGCCAGTGACAGATTAATTATTTTCCAAAACTGGTATTTTCAACAGGAGAAGTGAGCCCCTTCCCTCATTCATTCTCCAAAAGGCCAAACAAATGAATTATCCCATTCTCTAGATTACTCTATTTGTGATCCATGTGGATCAGGGACCAAGTCCCATGCATGGCACCCTTTTAACCAGCCTTTGGCTTTTAACAAGCAGAACAGCCTGTTGCCAACTTTCACAGTGACTGAGCAACCAGTGCTCACTTCCCAAAATAAATCATGGTTTTAGTCACAGTGGAACCAGTGGGGATGTTCCAGAGAATTATTCAGAGAAAGTATCACACTGCCCTACTTAGCGGCAACACTAGGGGGTACTAACGGGAAAATTAATGGAATCAGGAAAAAGAAGAGGAAAGCAGGTTACAGATCAAAATTCTCAAAAATTTACCAGCTTTCTTTGGAATATTTAAATCTCAGGGAACAGCTAAAGAACACACAGATGTTTTTTCTATTACCTAAATCAGGAGTGAGCTCTTCTGCAAAATACAGTTTCAAAAATTCAAGATCTGAGCCATATTTAAAGAAATCAGATCACATGAAGCAATACTTGCTTTTGTGTAAGGCTATCAGCTATGCTTGCTTAATAAACAATGTTTATTTTATTGTGAAAAACTGTTTGAAGTGTTGTGAGAACGGATTATCATGACTAAACCAGAGAACTATTTCCCTGCACACAGAGTAAGAAAGAAACAGGAGAAGCTGTGCCTTTAATGCCCTGAGATACCTATCAAGGGGCTGGTAAAACTGACAAAGCTACTTATTTCAATGCTACTGTAGTACAGTTCCAAAATTAAAAATTAAAAAAAAATAGAAAAATGAAGTTTTTTATTCATTTCCCGCTGTTTAAAGAGGAATGATCACATTTAAAATATAAACTGAAATTTAAAAAGCTGTTTAGCAGGCTAAGGTTTTTCTCCCAGAAGTTATTCTACTAAATCAAAAGGACACAGTTTATTTATGCCAGGCCCCTTATGTCCCTTTAAGAAGACTGAAAGACAAGCCAAAATTAGAGATATTAACTATTACTGACTAACAGTGAGGGATTCTGTGAAGTGGGGGAATTTTCTGTTTTTACCTTTCTAGATGCTCTGTAAGATGTGACTGTCAGAGGAAACAAAGTGAATTCTACATAATTAGGCACAATATGGGCACAGTGAATTTTTGCTAATTTAATCTACTATCACTAAATTGCATTTAAACCAAGGACATTCACTTTTTTTTTTGTCCAAAAACAGAGCTGCATGTAATGCATTCCTTTTAAAATGCAAAGTCTTCAAATAGTTTCATCCCATTATTTTTCTCAAGAACAAGAAGGCTTGCCCCCAGTTCTTTAATCATGAATAGCTCAGTTTCTACAACATCTACTTATTTATTTAAACATTTTGCATACTGACTGTGGCTTGATGCTTTGGTGAAGAAGGAGATGATTCATTTTCTGGAAAACTGGCCTTAGAAGCAGTTGATGATTCCTATAAAATTCAAATAGTCAATGTCAACAGATACTGTTATCATCTTTCATACAAATATATTTTTTTTAACCTAAAGATGCTTTCTCTCTCTTCTTCTTTTTACACACTCATAAATTACAAAAGTACTTCTTTTAGGCATTCATAATATTCTCACACAGTTACATTCTAAACTTACTTAAACAGTGTTCTTACAAAGTTTACAGACAACACTCCAATTGGGTTAATTAGTACATAATCATTTGAAAAAATATGTTAATACATGCTGCATCAGCTTCAAGCAAAGCCTTCATCCTTATAACGGGTAGATTTTTGTATGACATTGCTATCAAATTATGATGTATATTTAAAATAATGGCTGATTACAAGATATCATATACAAATACTAAGATTTAAAAAAATACACATGTTTCTGTGTGGTTAGTAAATACAAGATTAGCATAAAAAATTAAGTATGTAGAAAAACACATACCAACTTCATTAATTTTTGTGACTCATGATCATTAATCTCCTTATAATCAAACACTGAAAATCGCTAGAGATTTGGGGTTTTGTTTTGAACTGTTAACTACAGACCAAAATAAAATACTTAATCTCTGAAAACTAGAAAAATTGCCCATCTAGAGCAACCAAAAAAAAAAAAAGGCATGTGTGTTTTCTCTGAAGTAATGATTGCCTTGCACAAACACACTGCTTGAAAATCTGGTAAAGAATTTCGAAGGGAAGAAAAACATCACTTGTTCTCTGTTACTGTTAGCACATTTCTCCCCCTCTCTTTTTAAATCCCTTGATAGCTCTCCTAAACCCAGTTTGCTTTTGCAGCATTACATAGCACTCTGCACACTTGTGCTTTAAAATTCACTTGCAAATCTACCTAGAGAGGTCGCCCACTAGTTCTTTCAGTAGCACAATAACAGAGAACTTTAGCACTCCTAAGTAGAACAGCCTAAATGTTCCATATTTTCAGATGTCTGCAAAGAAGAAAAAAAAAAAAAAAGTTCAAATTAAGAAAATCAGTTGCCCCTCTCAGGAAGGTATTTTTTCCTATGCTTATCAATTTTTTTAGCTGATGGCCATATCCAGATATGTGCCACAGCCAATGAACTTGTTAACCAGTATGTTTGATATCATCAAATCCTCATGAGCCCTGGCAACCCATACTTTCACTCTGACACATTTCAAGTACTCTTTTGACTGCCCTATTTTCATACAGTTGAGTTCCATTGTTTTTCCAGGAAAAAAAAAAAAAGGAATATAAACTGAAAACAGGTTCCCCAGGAGACAGCTAAAAAAAATGCTTGGGGTTCAAGTCCATTGAGACAAATACCAGTTGCCTTCCTCTCTGTTTCAGTTGAAATTGAGGTAGCTTTCATACAGCAAAAGCAACTCTGGAACAAGAAATCCAGTATTTGTGGTCATGAAACATTCCCTTTCCACATACTAATTTCAAGCAGAATATATTAACAGTGTACCTGCTATTGGTAATAAAACAGCTGCATTAATGAACTAAAAATTATTTATCTTTCCATAAAACATTAGTTTATTGCTCCACTACATGTCTGAAATTTTCTCAAAGCCTTAATGTTGTGCTCCATATAAACTATTTTCTTCTTACCAATAAAAAACACATGCTGCCTACATGTTTGGAAACTGTTAAAGGAGCTTTAGGCTGCTGACTTGAGTTCACAAATGCAGCTCAAATAGAGTTTCTTTTGGTTATCACCCACAACATTTGTGCATTTTCATGTTTGCTTCACTAGGTTTAAGTTTTCGATACATGAACACTGAGCCTTGAAGAAATGTAAACAGCTCCACTTATTCAATGTATTACAAAAGCTTCTTCATTCAGTGCAGCACTACACAGTTCTTTCCAAAATGGAGACAGCAGTATATATTATGCCAAAAAATAAAAAGTCTTCCTTTAAAAGTGAAGCCAGAACTTCAAGCTATCTTCATACCCTGAAGCATAAACTGCACATGAGGCTAGAAGTGTCCACTCAGCTTTGATTTATCAGGACTCCATCTAGGCTGTGTCTCATGCAGTGCCACAACACACTGAGTACAGAAGGATGCATGAGGCAGACAAGGAGGAGGAAGGAGGGGAAAGGAGCAGCAGCGGGATCTCAGAATCACTGGAGCTGAATTAATGCTGAGAGGTGTAAAGTCTCCAGCCAAGCATGGCCCACTGCCTCCTCAGCACCACACATGATATATCCCAAAGTGACAACTCAAAAGCTCAAGATCAAATCCAATAAATCCTGTTCTGAAGAGCTAAGTCAACTCATGGAAAGCAAGTCCATCAAAATGGATACAACAGGTCGAGCAAGTACGGTTCTGGGCAGCAGATCCGTTGTCATTACAACCACAGTGTTTTGTCCATTCAAGTTTGGTTTTGCCATCTGTGATTACACAAGGCCACTCATAGGCTTTTCCTTACATTTTCAAATCTGCATTAATTTCATTTTTTTTTCTTGGAATTTTAGGAAAAGGAAGCTTACAATGCCATTTCTTGGTATTTCATTCTGAGAAGTTTGTGCTAAGATTTCAGCACTGCCAAGTTATTTCATTTTCCAGGTATCCTGGGATGGACTGCAGCGAAGTTACAGAGACCAGCATGTCACCACTGTACAACACCCATTTCAGTTCCTCCCTGCACAGCTCACGTCAGCTCTCCTGACCCACGGGCAGAATGGCCCAGCACAAGCAGAAATGGGAAGGAAAAAGGTCAAAGCAGAGGGAGAGCAAGGGAAAGGCCCTGTCTCCTTGCTGACCTAAACAGCACCTCTTACTGTACAGCCCAAATATCAAGAACATGCCCTAAGAATGGGCAGAAAACAGCTTTTGTTACTGACCCACAACATTTTTCAGACTAAACACCAGCTCAGCTGTGGAGAGGAACAAAGCCAAGTGTTTCAGCACTTTCAGTACTGTCCTCTGCCCTTCAATAACAATATTACAACCCTGTTGTAACCATGCACAGCTTTTCCCCTGAACTAACACCAGTTAAAATATTTCAAGGACAATAAAAGAGCTACTATTCACAAAGTAACAGCAGTGAAGTTATTGAACAGGCTTTTTTGCTGCATGTCATGAAAAATGATACAAGAGACCAAAAGAAAACTGAAATATCAGAAATTCAGGCATAGTATCTTCTGGTACATTAAATGTCACACATCAGAAACAAGTGGCATTTCAGCATGCTGATAACTTGCTCCTACCTTGTCGTTGGTGTCCAGCACAATTGTGCTGTGCCTCCATTTTGTTAAAACTATTGGTTCCTGTAGCCTCCTGTCCAGACTCCTACTCTTTATTATATCTCTCTGCTGCTGTGGTGAAGCATTATACTGAAGAAAAGAAAAATAAAATTGTAAATAGAATCTAATTCATGCAAACAAGACCTGGACATACCTCTCAAATGCCTAAATAGTGCAAACTTTCAGACTCCTGATATCACCACCCAAGGGTGTGAAAACAGCCTTGGTTTTATTCTGCATTTAGTCTTCAGAATTGTCCTTTCTCCTGTAGTCCTCTCTGAAGCAGTAGCTAAAACTGGTGTGTTGGGATAATATTCTCAATTGGCAGAGAGATGTTTGATTTCTTCTGCAGCAGATGCTGCTGATTTTGCCACCCAACAGGAATTGAGAACCACCAAGGAATTACAGGAAATACAAGATTTAAACATTCACTCTTCATATTGCATTGACAGTACTACAGCACCTGACCACGTCTTGTGTAAGAAAAAGTAAACCTATTATCCTGCAGTAAGATATTTAGATTGTTATGACTGCCTGGTATGATTCTGACCCAAAGATTTGGGATGCCTAGGATGAGGAGACACGAGGGCGAGGATTTGCTTTTTCAGAATAAACACATCAAATTGCTTATGAAATAATTTGCTGGTCTGGAATGTACTTACCACATACAAACATACACATTCCATAAGCATGGAAGATAATATTTAGCAGGAAATAATTTTAAGACTTAGCAGAGCTATAACAACCAAGGAGAGACCATATTTATCATAACATAGGTTTTCTAGTAACTCAAGAGCATGCAAACTCACAGAGAAAATGTGAGGGTCATGAGAAGGACACAGCATTTAACTAGATCTCACAATTGCAGCATATTTTTCTTTAATAGTGTTGCCATTTTACATCATCCCAACACATTATAAAAAATTCTAAAGATATTTCAGACAAAGTGTTACACTGAAAACACAAACAAGAAAAGACAACATCAGTGTACAGGGTTTTTAAGTGATTTACTAAAATCTCATTGTTTTTAGTCAGTATCAAAAGACTGAAATCTGCACATAGAAAGAAACTTAAGGCAGCATTTATGAAGTGACTTAAAGCACTAGAATCCACTAAAGAGGAAATAACAAAAACTGAAGGCAGCATTTGTGGAGAGGATTTTAGTGATTCTAAAGCACTAGAATCCACTAAAGAGGAAATAACAAAGGAAAGTGAAGGGCCCCTTTTACCTAAAGCAATAATCTCTGTAAGGACACTGACTTCTACAGTTTTGCCATTGATTCCTGCTATAAGCTCAGAGCCTCAGGTGTTCAAAGACAGAATAATCTATACCTGCACATACCAAAAGCATGGCAAGGTTTAACCTAAACAATATAAACATGAAATCTAACCAAAATTGCATAATACAGCTACATTTATTACCCAAATAAAGAACAGCATTGCTACAGCTATAGCACTCACAATGCTTGAGCTTGCTTTGTAGTTTACTATGAAGAGAGTTAGTCCTCCAATAAGCTAACAGATGCTTAAAAGCTAAATAACTTTAGCATTTATTACATTATTTTAATATGCACAACAGTAATAAAACACTCTCAAGTGAATGGATGTTGCAGTACCAAGAATAAAGTTTGGCAGTTCATGAACAGACAGAAACATATCAGCTGTCGCTGCAGAAAGTCACTTCTGAGCCTGCCTTTGCACTGGCTTCAGCACATCTCCACTCACTTCCCCACAGTGGTGAGGGTTAACCAGCTCTCAGTTTGTCTCCTTGTTAAATCAAGAGCTGAGCTGTGATACATGCTGAAAGGACCCTAGTGCTGGCTTGCTTTCTTTTTAAGGAAATATCCACTCTGCCAGAGCTCCTGCAACCACAGCACGCTGAGCAACATGCAGCAAAACTGCCTGCCAGCAAAACTAAAAACTAAACAACCTCCAGCAAACTATGTCTAAATCACAAAGGCTGCAACAAACAGCATTCCTTGCAGCAACTCTAACCCATTTAGGTGGGCAATTCCAACACATTTCTTGCTATGAAACAGAACTGTTTATTTCAGAAATAGATTTACACATTACTGACACTGGTATATATTATTTATAGAAATCTTCCATGCACTTTCCATTTGAGTAACTCAAGGAATTGAATAAACAAATACGTATTTTAAAGTAATCTATCTTGAATTTAATTACATTTTAAAAGTTAGGATACAGGCACAGGTGATCTGTATTTAAATGGTGCCTTTCATACTGTCACAAGCCACAGGAGTTAACTTCTCTAACAGACAACCCCACCTTGAAGGGGAAAGGAATTGTAACACGGAATTCAAGTTTTACTAAATATATTTAACAAGAAAGCAAAGCAACAGTATATGGAGCTCATCAACAAAGCATGACTGATAACTCAGGAACACTGAGCTCTGTGCATCTTAGCAGCTTAAATAATTTGCATGGGTGATACAAACAGTGTTAGTAAACTGACAAGTCTTTAAAGGGAACATTTGACATTTTTACCCCATTTTCTCACAATAGAAACTTCAAATAAATCTTTTTTTCTCAGATGTCTATGAGGTTTTTTGTTTGTTTTATTCATTACAAATAGTAAAACACACTGGGAGGAAGGGTGATGTGGAAATAAAAAGTTTTGTGTTTCTGGGCTCAAGACAAGTTTCCACTTTTAAAATACTTGAATTGGTCTGCGATGTCCAAAGAGAATCAGAGGGAGACAGAGGCACCACTTCCTACTCCACACTGTCCAGCAGAACTCACCGTCCTCTAGACCAGGCAGTGTCCACCAGCCAGGGAGAGATGGCCAGAGCAGGAAGGCTTGCCTGGTTGGGTGACACCACCCTGCTACCCTTTGCTCTGCCCTACCCAACCTCAGTTCAAAAAGCCCTGCAGAACAGCTTCAGGTCGGTTCCATGATCCTCTACAGGACTCCTCCCTGCACAGGAGCTGCTCTCTCTCCTCCTGTGTTTGCAGTATTTACTATTGTTTACCAGGAACTAGGTTGGACTTGCCTTCCCTCAAACAAAATTGTGTTTTTACATAATCATAAGGAGGCTTTCTATGCCTAAGACTTGGTGTGATCCTGAAGACAGAGCTAAGGCAAGGCTGTCCTCTGCAATAAAACTGACCCATTCAAGACTACACACTGCCTGGTGGGACAACCCCTGCTACACCAGGTGCCTTAACAACGTCTTCTTAGGGTGCAGTGTTCATTTCCTAATGCTAAAGCTTTTTAAAAGGTAGAACACAACTCCAAATTTACACACTACTGCTCCTTGGAAATCCTCCACTCAAATTTGTCCCACCACACTAACCCCTCTGGCACATCACCCCAGCTTGTTCCCCATTTCATTGGGAGCATCTCTTATCACACAGGGGGCACATAAGCCAATTGTTCATTCTCTGACTGCACACACCAAGCAAAACAGGGATTTTTTGAAACAGTTCTTGCTGTAGCTCAAGGACACCAGTGGTGTACATTTAGGTCACAAAGTATTCTTTTCATTGCTGAATTTGTTCAAGACCTTCTCCAGCTACTTAAATTAAAGGCTTTCTTTGCCTCACTATAAAATTTTCTAACCTTCTCAACTGGCTGAGTAATTTCCATTTAATTTTAAGCTGATACATGGCATGGCTCAAGGCCCTGTCCTAGCCTAATTGTGACTGAAACAAATGTAACACCTCCAAGTTATTTGTAGCAGTTGTCCCCATTCTTACAGAGATGGCACAGATCTGTCAGTTTTAAGAAACAGAAAAAAGATTCTTCTTGGTTTGTGTTAGCAACATCTTCAGCCAGACACAGGAATTGGGTGGGCTAAGGGAGAAAAGACTTGGGAAGCAACCAACACTGAAAGCTGGTAAAGACCTGAAATGAAGCATTTTAGACAACCTTACTGCAATCAAACTTCAAAACAGCAGCACTTAAAAACACTGTGCTATCCTAGTACCCTTTAGCACCTCATATATGTTATTTGCAGTTGTCCCAAAAGACTGTCTGAAACAGAAGAACCTTCCTTAAATTAAAGCTGCCTCAGAACAAAACTACTTTCTAGTGCTCCTACTGTCCTTGGCTTTGAATAAACGTTTTTGTTGTTGTGATAGATGTAACACCTATGTAACAGCTTTAGCTTTTCTTATCAACTAAATCAGTAACACAATTTTCTTAAACCTCCAAAAATAAATAAATAAGGATGTTTTTCCCCTTTTAAGGGATTCAATTCCCTTCCTTTCTCTAGGGAATGAAGATTTCTCTGCCATAGAATGTCAGGGTGGCAGCAGTTGGAGGCCTCAGCCCCACAGGAGGAACAGAACCCAGGCAGAATGTTCTGCTTCTTCATTGGCAGAAGCAGCTTGAGCTCAAACGCACCAGTGACTGAAAGACACCTCTGGATAACCTACTTTGTTCACTTTGCTGTCTTGGACATCCATTGCTTCCCTTTTAATCCTCAGGGTCACCAAGACTGCTCATCTGTGATGCGCAGCCCCAGGTCCTTGCTGATTGCCACAGGTCCTGCTGTGTGCCCAAGCAAAGGCTGGGGGGAGGTGGGAGCCCCTAAACCCCAGGACAAATGAGGAAGATCAGACTAGGTTTTGTGAGTAGAAATACAAATATTAAAGAGAAAGGAAAAAAAACCCTGACTGCCTTCTCATACTTAACTCTCATTTGTTTTTTAAACAACTTTTGTTGGTAAAAACTACCATGATCTTCACATCAGCAGAGGCTGTCTCAACTTTCACCAGGCAATCCCAAATTTAAGCACAAGAATGTCACTACTGCTAATGAAACTGCCTAGTGCATTGACTTGCAGTAGACTCAAATGCCAGCACAGAGGGTAAACCTCAAATCCAGCAGCACAGCTCAGAACAAGACAAATTTACCATAAGACAACCAAGTTTTATTTACGTGTTCTCATATTTATTTTCCTTCACCATTTAATTGCACGATATGTTCCTGACATTACCTGCCCCTTGTTTTACTGCAATTTTTTCAGCTATCATGCTCTGACAGTTTTCAGGTCTCCATCAGGAAAACCATTCAACAAGTGCCAGAACTGAGGCCCCTGAGCTCACTCCCCAGGCTGCAGTGCACAGAGTGAAGTAACAGACTGCGTATGTTCCTGACATTACCTGCCCCCTGTTTTACTGTAATTTTTTTCAGCTATCATGCTCTGACAGTTTTCAGGTCTCCATCAGGAAAACCATTCAACAAGTGCCAGAACTGAGGCCCCTGAGCTCACTCCCCAGGCTGCAGTGCACAGAGTGAAGTAACAGACTGCTGGTCCATCAACACTGCCAAAAATGAAACTCCTTCAGCTACTCCTTCCTCTGTGGATACAGCAAGGAGAGCTTACGCTGCAGGAACTTGTGAGAAGAATACAGACAATTTCAATATCACAGGCTGTAAATATTAACACTAAAACTGAGTTCACTCCAGAGGCTTATAGTAGACACATTTTCTTCCAAAGGCTAGTCTTGGATCAGTGAGCTCGTTCAGAGGAAGGCCAAGCTTCAGTGCTCTTATGCCAGGTGTTGGCCTAGGAATGCATTTTGAAAATCTGAGAGATTTTTAATCTCTACTTTTTATCAGGTTGTCCCCTCTAACTATCATTTGAGATATTTATTTTGATACTTATTAGAATTCCCCCCTTTTTTTTTTTTTTTTTTTGGCATTTTGATAGGTTAACTTTTTTTGAAACTTCGAAATTAAGGAGCTCTTACTCCTGAGATGAGTTTAATTCCCCTCACACTTACTAGATTTCTCATTTGCTCCTATTAGAAAACTAGGTTTCTGGAATAGGGATGTAGCCCTTCTTAGACTGAATTTAGACAGTATTCTTTCACTAAACAGGAAATAAACATATTTTATTTTCTAACTTTTAATTGCTTGTTCATTGGGTTTTTTTTGTTGCTTGGTTGTTTTGGTGGGTTTTTTTGTATTGTTTTTTTTTTTAATAATTGGCAAGAACCAAAAACTGAATATAACAGAATACTTCAGATGAGAAATATCAGTCCTCTACAGGATCTAGTAGAAACTATGATTAAAACATTATTATCCATTTTAAAGATTAATTCAGTATGTTCTTCTCTTCCACTGCAGAAAGCTGGGTCACACTCATCATGAGCCTTAATAGACTTTTCAGCAGTTGTCAAAGCTACTGCATGTGAAACATCATTTTTAGCCAGAGGCATCCAGCTATTCCTAGATGTTATTTAAATCCACATGACTGGAGGGCTTTCTGTGAGACTGTCTAAAGTAATTTGTTTTGTAACTGTCCTCCCTTCCCAACACATACCCTCACAATTTTTAACACACATACAAGAACAGTGTGATATTCCCAAGCATGTGCACATTTATAGTTAATTCTATTACTCTGAAGATTTTTAATGTCACAGTGTTAGCTCAGATAGTGTGCTATTTCCAGAAATCTCTGAACCATTCTTAGTTCTAATGAAATCCAGCTTATTAAGAACCATCTACAAAAAGATTCTATTCTTTTTCTGGTTTATAGTATTACATGACCATGCTATTACATCACTTTATTTCACAAGATTTGGAAGGCAATATTTGTGCTAAATACACTGGAGGGGGGGAGAACCAAAAAAATCCTGAGCAAGAGTAGGATTTTTCCTAGTAACTTAATTTTCATTTAAGTAAGTTACAATGCTGAGATCCTTCTATGGTTTTCTCTCACTGCTCAAGAGAAGTTTTCAACATATAGATTATTTTTCTTCAAAGCAGTTTTGTGGTCTGAGTGTTCTTTAATTAATTTGTTTTAAGTACTTTATAACCAGCTTCATCAAGACCTTTGAGAGACTAATCTTCAATCATGTTTAATTACTCACAAGAATAACATCTTCAAATATATAGTTACATAAACTAGCTTAATCTTTTGTTGAAATATTTAATCTATTCCACAGAATTTAAAGCTAAAAGCCAAGGATTCTGAATCTAAGAATCAATTGCTCATTTTCTTCTGTTTACCTTATATTTGCTGGCAGTCAAGATTTACTAGTTTCAAGAAGGAATTAAAAAGTACATTCCACCTAAATGAATCATAAGAATAATAATTTTCAAGGAAAATTTGTAACATCAATATGTGATCACTTTCAGATCACAAATTACAAACCAAAGGCTACGTTTCATTCTGGAAGTGGCTACTAATACAACAGAACTCAGACTTTGTTTAGAATAACTAGAATAACATACATTATTAAATAAATACTAGAACCCAGTCCTTTATGCCTCCTAATGGACCTCAGGTAATGGTTCTGGATTACCTTTGTGACTTATTCTAATTGGATTAAAGGCAATTTGCTGTGTAATTCAAATCCTAACTCAATCTATTTTTGTGAAACACAATTTCTTCCAAGTCAAAACTTTCTGCACAGCACAAGTCATAGAATAAAGTACTCATGACATTATTCTCCAAAATTATTTCAATTATACATATAGAAGTAATAATTGCTTCTGGTAAAACCTGGTCTATCATATTTTAAGACTTCTAATAAATCCAGTAACATATCAAAAGCTAAACAGCTTTTAAAACCAGTAGGTACAGATTATGTTGTTACACTGAGACATGTTACAAAATTTAAGTTATCTAACACATCAGACTGACGTAGGAGAATTCTCAAAGCTAACTCAACTCTTCAGTGCTTCAGATGCACATTCTTCTACTGACGTAACAAAACAGCTTAGTATATAACTTCATTCATAATTTTCATGTAAATATTTTTCTCACAAGTATTATGAAAGCACTACCTATTAAGTGGAAGTGATTGAGACACTGATTTTTGTACTGATAAAACAATAATGGAGAAACATGCTTTTTCATATATTTATGCACACAGTTTTGTGTGAAACAACTTTGTTAATGGCCACAGCTTATTATGTAGTATTGAACAAATAGCAGGGAAGACATACATAACAACATCCATATAACAAATTACCAGTTTTTTGAAGTGAATTTGAGAATTAAATAGTATTAGATACATCCTCAGACTACCAAGTGTCCCGAGATCTGTCACTTCCCTACAAATTTCTATTTTTACTACAAAATTAATGAATACCAGAACACAATTCTGGTGAAACTGTGCCTTCCTCAAAAATACCAAAAAACTCTGCTGAAACTTTTGTTTTTCAACACTTATTTGTAAAAGCACTTTGGAGGGTTCTAAAAATAGACTGCAGTTTCTCAGGGAAGATTTCTCCTTTTTCCCATACAGGTTTTCTTTATCACAGCAAAATCACAGATACTATTTTGCAGCCCTGCATAAAACCTTTGCTCTGTTCAGCAAAGACACCAGATCTCCTTTGACATCTGAATAAATTACATATATATATTTCTCATGTCCTTGAGTATATTTTTTTCCTCTTCATAATCAGAAATTCCACAAAAATGCAATAAATAACAAAGAGCACTATCTGAGTCCTCCGGTGGTTAATACCTCACATTAAAGGTCTGATAGAACACACATTCAGGAAGAGGGGAAAGCCCCAAGTTGCGAGAGCACTATCTGAGTCCTCCAGTGGGTTAATACCTCACATTAAAGGCCTGATAGAACACACATTCAGGAAGAGGGGAAAGCCCCAAGTTGCTGAAGTTTCTTTTTTAGGTCACTCACCTTAGGTAACTCCCACTCTGATCTGGAACCATCAGCACTGTAGTAGTATGGTCTACCTTGTTCATCTGCGTGTTTTATCCACTGCAGAAAGAAATGTGATGATAGAAAATGTAATCAGAGTGACAGTCACAACAGTAAATCTCTGAGACCTGAGATTTAAAGTTAATTTTTAATTAAGTGCCATCCACTTCAGCCGTGTCTAATGCACAACATCCATTAACTAACCAAGGTTAGATTGCAATGAGAGCAACAGTTTTCAGCATCCTGATATATTTTTTCTGTAACTCCTCAGAAAAAAAGTCCAGCAATATATATACAAGAGATTGTGATAAACAGATTTTTTTTGTTTTTTAAGATGCCATATCTCATTCTTATCGACATTATGTTGTCAGTTTAGGGAGGCACAATTTTTCCATCAGATCTGCATCAGAATCTTATACATAAAATTACAAAAAAGCAGCTCAACCAGCAACTGCTGATAATATGAGAGATTTATGCACTCATTGAACAACTTTTTTTAAAACATCAATGGAAACATGAGATGCAGTCCCTAGAGAAATCATGAAGAATACAATATAATTTCTGTAACCTCTACAATCACCTCCCACAATCAAAGAAGTAAATCCATGACAACTGGGACTGTTCATGCAGACAGAAAAGAATTGTAATGAGCAAAGTTCAACAAGATGGTTGCAGAAAAAAACACAGAAACACTCACAGCAAGGCTCTTGGCTGAGGCAGGTTTCACAAGATTGCCTTTCTATAACTGTTTGTGGTAGGAAAGGCTGGTTTTTATCAATCCCAGTGCAATTAAAAAAGAAGGCTGCATATTTGCTAAAACATAGGAATGTGCTTTACAGATGTTTGTCAGAAACTGATTAAAGAGAATAAAATTCCAAAACTGACCAAAAAAAAATCTAACTATTTAGAAAATTCTTGCAAATAAGACTTGCCTAATTCAATTCAAGAACAGGTGGTGCTATAATATAATAAAGTACTGTTTCAGTGAACTTTAGAAGCTCAAAAAACCTCAACATGCAACTTCACTGAACAACTGGAAAAATGGACTGCTTTACAAATATAAACAAATACTGTAATTTATCCTAAGTGGAAGAAATTTTTATGGCATGCCCAGAATCCCAGTAAGTTGTCAGTAGCAATTAGATAGCAAGAACAGGGCACAAATCTGCTGGTATGGCCGTAGTTTAATTAAGAAGTTTGTATATATCTGAAAGGAGCAGTGAAAAATCTCTAATAAAGGAAATTATGAAAGCAATAAAGCAGCATTACATTCAGCTCAAAAACATCTTAACTAGAAGGTCCATGTGGACAAGAGCAGCTCTTAAAAGACAGTAAGAAAAACTTTTTGGTATGAAGTTCATACCTGAACTATAACCAAGAGGAAGCGGGAGGGCAGGAACTAAAACAATTATACCTGGTATGTTCATTTAATATAATCTGATACACAACTGGAAATAAAACTTCTTCTAAATAACAAAAACATGCATAAGAAAAAAAATCAGTTCACTTGCTAAAGCTTCATGCATATTTAAAAAAAAAAAACAAAAGGAGCTACTGCTGAGGTACGCTCTTCACTTTTGGAAATGCAGGTTTCATTTCTAGAAGTGAATAAGTGGAAAAGATTTAGAACACAAGACGAGAAGAAGGAAAAAGTACCTTTTCATTAGTATAGTCATTGGTATATAAGGTTTGACCATGTTCATCCAACTCTTCTGACCAACCCTTTGGAGGAGAACCATACTGACTATCTGACTGGCTGTAACAAGAACTGTGGTCGTTTTCTTCTGATGAAAGATGCTACAAGTAGTCAGAAACATACAAGGCAGTTTTGAGAATGAAAGCGCTTTAAAATCTGAAAGATCAAAGATTATTTGACTAGAAAGAGAATAGTAATGAAAACAGGGAGTTCACATTTTTATATATCTTATGAGAGAATGAGATGCATTTTTACCGTGCAGACAATTCAAAGTATTTTTAGAACTAGCTTTTACTGATACTTTTTTTTTTTTTTAATTTCCACTGCATCAGATTTCACTACTCAAATTTAAACTCCAGGGATTTTGTCTATCCAAATTTCAGTCCTACAAATTTACATTACTGATGAAGAGTTAGCTTTAGTAATCTGCATTGCCTTAAAAAAAAACTGCCCTGCTACCTCAGTTTTCTACCACCATCCCATCTACCACCATCCTTAATTTCACACCTAAATAGTTCTCCTTTTCTCAAACACATCTGAAAACACAGGAGTGATTAAGGACAACTTGAAACTCCAGTTTCACCTTCTTAGATAGCAGCATTTTACAGTATTTGTCCACAGCATCTTAAAATATTATGAATTTCCACTCTCCTCTTTCCAACTCTGATGCACATGACAAAGAGCACTGCAAAAGCAAGGCTTTCCACGAGGCACAGCTAGCTGAGGTGAAAAATTGTTTCCTGAACATAGAAGTCAATTATTATCCTAGGAACAAGTTTGATGTGTAACGCAGAGAAAAGATTTTACACACACATCAAACAATTTCTGTTCCCCCATAAACCTTGTTCATCCCCTTGCTAACACACTGTAGTCTTATTCTAAGCATCCACTCCATGCATCCAAAAAAAATCTCCCTTCTTTCATCTCCCATAACATCTCTATGTTGTGGTTTCCTGAGGAATTCTACGCAGATTTCCTTTCACAATGTCTTGGATCCTCAGCTAGCAGGAGGCAAAACATTTAAGACACCCTTCTACTCAGAAACTACAGGAATAAAATACAATGTTCAGTAACATTGGCATAAGGGGTTTGAGAAAAACTGCAAGGCAGGAGAGAGACACAATTTCAATTTTAAATCGGAAAAAACCTCTCCCAAAAAAAATCAAGTCTTACAAAAAATATTCAGTTATCAGAAGCTCCCCAGTTTTTAAAAGTCAGTGGGTTTAAAGACTGTATGTTTAGTGACATATCCAAATGATTTTTATATAGGTTTTTGGTGTTACTTCTCTGAGTACCTTACCATTTGTGTGACACACACTCCTTTAACTGACATGACCCAGTTTACCAAGCACAGGAAAACCCACAGGAAATTTTTAGACCATTAATTAAGGAACATGAAAAAATGCTCTACAGCTTACAGAATGTGAGCATATAAACTGTGGATTAACCAATGCTACCTCTCTTGCACATGGGGCAATGTGAAATTCTCATCTGCCAATTCCTAACCACTGTGGGGAAGGAAGGAGAGCAGAGGGAGCAGGGAGTCTTCAGTCCCATTTTTACACTTGCAGAATTAAGACTGAAGAGTTGCCAAGGCTGCTATTGGCCCCATTTTAACTACTGTTTCATAGGATAACTATATTGTATACATGTACTTAAGTTTACATGGTTTTAATAGTTAAATATTAATTGCATTGACATATGGCAAGTCAATGTAGAAGACTTTGGACATTTTTATTATTACTATCTATAGAGATTATGACCAAATAATATGGTATTTGCGTCTTCCAAGCAACTCCTGATACTGAAGAAACACCTTACACAGGTAAAACCAAACAGAGGACCTAAAAATGAAAATTCTCCTAGAAAAACCACTGTTGTATAGAAGGATGACTGTTAATGTGTCTATCTGCATGGCATCCATATAATAATAGCTTAGATGCTGCAAGGCTTAACTCATATCCTGTACATTTGCACACCTAAACTTCAACAAAATTCCTGAGTTATTACAAATTTTACCAAGCCAAGGCACTCCTTGTCTCTCAGCTGTCAGGAACAGCTGCTGAAGCTGTATCAACAGGGTTTAAAGAACACTGGCTAAACCACGTTCCACAGCTTTCAATTTCACTTTCAACACTTTTTCAGCATTAACTGCCTATATGTTTTTTTTCATATTGTCTATGCTTTATCTCAAGTCTCATCCCCAGTTATACTATCCCACACTTAAATAAACCCATCTTAAGCAGACAGGTGCCCAGCCTTACACCTTATAAAACTTTGCTGTGACAATAAAGAGAATTACAGAAAAGGTCCCCCACAGCATTGTTTCTATTGTCATTCTTGGCTTTTTTCTATTTACATAGAAAGTTCCTGGGGACAGAGACCAGTTCATCTCCATGCATTTACTAGGAACAGCTATCTGTGTCCCTGCTATCACTTAACCTTTCTAGCTTTTAACGTTGCTACTACTTGTGAAAGTGAAAATAATCAGGAAGAATACTAATTAAGGAAGCTACCATCCCTTTATTACCATTTGTTTATATTAAAACAAAAAACATGGAAGGAAATCACATTCTGGACAAGATTTAAATCTAGCTTTGAAATTCAATTAAAACCCATTGCTTTTCTACAGCTGTTGGGTAATTTGTGGATGTCTACTTTATATTATGATTTTCTATCTAGGTATTAAGGATTTGTCTTCTCTGGCATTTTGACATCTCATTCCTTTTACAGTTCAACTTAATTAAATCACTTCACTTGACAAATTCCTCCTACTGTTAAGCACTCCTTCCTCAGATACATCAACAAATCACTGCCTCTAATACATTTTATATGTAATTCCAAAATTTTATACACTTTCTTACAGGCCCTGTTCATAGGACTTCACTGCTTCCCCATATCCCATCCATGTAACATGTAACATCCATTTAACTGTCATGACCTACAACTGTTTCCTTTTTGCCATGTCTGTGACCAGCTACTTTGGCAAATGAGAAACAATTCTGCTCCTTGTTAATTATCCAATAAAATTTGATTTCCTAATCACAAAGTTCAAAGACCAACTATAAACTATGTCACGTTTCATATACTACTCATATATTAGAATATCTGATCTCTCAGTTCTCATTTTTACATCACCTTCCATTTTGCTACCTAATAGAACATAAGCTCCTCTGAGGACAAATCAGTAGAAACTAGCTTTTAATCCTTCTGCATGTACTCTATTATTATTAAAAGAGTATAACTCAGGCTAACAAAAAAGCCAACTTACAATTGTAAAGATATGTTAGCTCTAACTTTTCCTAATCAGGCAAAATTTGAGATGCCCTACATTTTCCTGTAGCTTAGGCTTGGATCTCAATCTTTACTTTATATTGGATTAAATATCCAGAGGTTCCAAAAAGGAACACTAACAGTGGAATGTGAAGCATATTCCCAAATGCAGAACAGAAAAGAAACAAAAGGAAAGAGGGGTGGGGGGAAAGGCAGCTTCAAAATCAAAACATGACTGCTGGTAAGTGGATTGCCATGACCATGCAACGTGTATCTCTCCCTAGACCCATATTTTGATAACCCAGTCAAGACACAAATTACCTAAGGAGCTTATGCTACTGGAAATACAGACTTAGTATGTAGTTAAAATCAAAACATGTATGGTCCACTGGTCTCACAAAGACTGAAAACTTGATAGACATAACTGCCTGATGGCCAACTTGTGATACCTGAAGCATCGCAAATAAACAGAAGAACTGAGATGAAAGAAGTTACGGATAATTTTTAAAAAGTAAGTTAAAAATCAAGCATTTCAAAGATTCAACCATGTGGTGAAGTGATGATACAGGTATGAGCAGGAGTCAGAAGGATTGCTTACAGAGGGGGAGGGAGAAAGAACTCCTGCAATCCTTCCATGAAAAGAAGGAGGAACTACAACAATGAGAAAACCATTACTAGGAGATGGAACTACAACAATGAGAAAACCATTACCAGGAGATGAAACTACAATGAGAAACCCATTCCTAGGACAAGGAGAATCACTACTCAAAAAAAGCAATCGGCTTACCCAGACTAAAACCAGTCTTATCCAGCAAAAGGACAGTCAGTGATAAATTAAGAGACCATCACCAGAGATACCAAAGGGACAGGGATAAACATTCCGTCTGTTTGCCTGTTGCTGCCACACGCCTGAGGCAAGAAAATTTGGCTATTTAAATGCTTGTGGAAGTCACAGGTGCTGTGAAAGCCAGTGCCAAAGGAAATGAAAGGTTTCCATTTCTCTTTCTTGCCTGTTCCTGTTACTACCTTCCAGAGGTAGACTTCTGTGACAGGCTTCCAACAATCACAAAATTTTGATCAGTCCACAATTCAATTTTAAAACTAAACTCTGGTTTTATAGCTCAGATATATATATAGGATATATAGAGACACTATATATAGTTGGCACAGGAGAAAATCCACCTAAACTATATATATATATTTGAAAAGGGTATATACAAGTGAAATATGTAGAAGATTTTTTTGATAAATATTTGCTTTCTCTTTCCATCAGGAAACTGGTTAACCACAGTACTGTTTGGACACAAGAACACTATTTTAAGCATATCTAAATAGTAATATCCATCTCCCAACTATTCCTTTGCTTTATCTGAACCACTGCAGTTCAGATAAACACACTCCAAGATCAGACTTTCCCTAGCAACTGGCTGCACAGAATAAATTGGCACCTCAAATATTAGTCCAAATCATCTTTTAACATAAATAACTTCACAGTAAGCTTCAACTATCTCAAGCAAGGTCAGCAGCAAAGTTTTACCAAAAGGCTTTGCAAAAGCAGAACTGTTACTTAATGAAAAAAATCCATTTATATACCTAAAGAATACGTTCATGGTCTGAATGTAATCTAGTCAAAAGGAGCAGTATCTGCTATGGGGCTGTTTCTACAGGCATTTTTACAAGTTGCTACTCTTCCACACAGATCATGTACACGTTCATGTACACAAAAGCAACTCAAGAGTGAAACTGTTGACTATTTCATACCAAGACACATAACCAAAAAGACAAAGGAAGACACTCCTTGACGCCTTGAAACCAAGAGATACCAAATTCCACAGCAAAAGACCATTCACATGCATTACAATCTCATTGCTTTTGATCTCAGAAGGCACTACCTCATGATCTGCATGGCTCTGGGAATCCCCTTTATTAATGCTTGCATCTCGGGCCCACCGCGGAGGTTTCCAGGTTCGCTCCTGTGATCCTCTGTTGTAGTAATAACAGCGTCCTGTCGTATCTTTATGGGTTTCCCATTCCCCATTTATTTGGACTGGAGCACTTGTAGGTAGAGGTGGAAGTGCAGACTGAGATATTTTCAGTTCTTGTAAATTAGCATAAACTGGTGAATCAGGCCTCCCTTGGCTTGGTGGAGTAGTTGGCTATTGAGAGAAGAAATGCACTGTTAACGAGCAAATGAATTTTTGAATGCTCCCTTACAAATCAGAATACAGCAGTAAAACAAACCAACAAACTCCTTTTTTTGTTGTTAAGTACAAAAGCACAAAGGACAGCCATAAAATGCTGGGGTGTAAGAACATTCGATTTTTAATTCTAAGGTAGATATCACAAGCTATATTTATTTAATACTGAACCAATTTTTCAGCATTTCTCCGGATGACAGCTGATAATTATGTCTTACAGTGGATTTGAAATACACTGGAATCATCATCAAAAAATTATATGCTTGCCATGCCTTGCTGAAAAACTTCAGCTTTACAAGTTCAAGTATTGCTCAGAAACTATAAGTAATGTGATCTTGTTCAAGACAATACACAGCATTTCTGAGATGCCACTTGTAAGGCAAAGATTGCTCCCCAGCCTTTCCACCTCACTGTTGATACAGTGATGGTGAATGTAAAGCAGCACTTTTGCATTCTCAGCAAGGTCTGAACAGACAGCTCAGCTGGAAAGATGAGCACAATGTTGTGACTAAGAAATTATGAAAAACACCTGGACAGTTCACCTGTATGCCTTTTCAAACAAGCTTATTTGAAAATATTTTAGGCAACATCACCAAGTATTTCAATTACCCCTCTCTTCTTGTAAAAAATTAAGTGGATATTCTTATCCACCTGATTATGTTCACATACAGGCACAAAAGTAGAACAACAAATACCTACATGAAAACAAAACACTAATGACAATTGCTTATTAATAAATAGTTTGCTAATGTGACAGACAGCAGAAATTATGGTTAGAAGACCAAAGAACTTAATGAAACCACCAGTATTTCCAAATGAGTCCCTACAGTGTTTAGGAGAGAAATAAATCTTCAAATGCTCAATTTTTAAAGTCTGATACAAACACACCATGCAGAGTGTAAGAGCATGTGTTTTCACGAGAACTGTGATTATGAGATTGTGAAAGCAGCTAGTTATTAAACCAAATTAAAGAGTTTCTGGTAATGCACTGCCACTTCTGTATTTTGGGGCACAATATTTACATATTCTGAAGGAAAAACTATACAATTTATAGCATCCCCTTGGTTTTAATTGAGCAGCTTTGCTGTAGTCAAGTCCTTGTGCCTCCTGTTGCTACTGCATTGCATAAAAGATCTTTTATAATGTACTTTTAAACATTAAAATCATAAGACGCTAATCTAGGCCACATCTAATCATAAATTATCAGGGTTTGCTCAGGCAAGACAGCGTATCATACCACAATCAGATATCAACTGATTGCACCATAGGTAGAACCAAATATGGGCAATATCCACAACCAAAGGGGGAAACAGCTAGAGAGGAACTTAATGAGATTATAACGGGCATGGACTTGTTTTGCGTGCCTTTAAAAGAGACAACACAGCTTACCAGATATAGCAAGTACACTACATCTAAGACAAACCACAAGTGCTGAAAACAAAAAAAAAATTTGTAGCCCTGGCAAAATCTGAAAGCCAAAATCAATCAGTATCCTCCCATACCTGATTCAAAGGAAAAAATCTGTTACAAAACTTGATGAACAGTAAAAGGATATTTTTCTACTATCCAAGTCACACATGTTGACTTTTTGTTTTGTTTTATTTGTTTTGGGGTTTTTTGTGAGGAGGGTGGACCAGCTGCCTTAGGTAGAGAGTTAATCTTGAGAGCCCTAAGAGCATAAACAACACTACTGTGAATGAAGACCGCCCTACCGTCCTCAGGGATGATGAGCCAATTCCCTGTGATGTTGGGGCAGCAATCTTGATGCCTCCTCATTCAAGAGCACCATTTCTGCCTTGGTGTCCAAGAGCCTGCAGAGCTGCACCTCCCACGTAAACCAGCCTGCCATTAACCACGGGGTTTGTCATTGAAATGACACCACAGAACTCAAAAACCTCCAGCTCCTTCCTCTCTTTTAAGGAAGTGGCAGAAGTGGCACCACCAAGTGCCCTGGCTGCTGCAAAGTGGGGGCTGGTGGCTTGCACAACCCTCACCTCCTCCTGAAATTCCTCTTCCACACGAAGCAATAAGGCAGCTCCTCTGTCTGGCCCACATTTAACAAATACTATTTTGTTTTAAGTCAGTTAAGAGCCATCACTAAAAGAACAGTTCTGTGTGTTAATAAAAGCGTTTTCCAAATAGCCTGAAACACAGAATGGTATATTTTTGCATTGGAATATTTTCTAAAGCAACACATAAGAATATGGCTCAGAGGCTTCACACGGAGGTTTTCAACCATTCCAGCATTATAACCAGCACAACTCCAGATGAAACTGCAGGACATGGATGTGCTCAGCCAATACTGGGAGCTCACAGCCAAAGTACTGCCACCTAACTCAGGCAGCATACAAACTATGTTTAGAACAGTAACATGATATGAAAGTGTAAATGAGGGATTTTCTTCTGAATGCTTAATGCTTCCAAACTCAAGATACCAATTTCTGGTTTTCAAGGAGAAGACAGAACTTTTCTCCTGAGCTACAAAGACAACTAGCTGTCCTGCCAAGCCAGCCCTCCAGCTACTTTCATCCCCTGTTGTTTTCTCTTCTGACAGATTTTTCAGGGAGAACTGCAAGATTTCTGAAAGACGTCTGGAAATTACTGCTTTCAGTGAAGCATTAAGAAAAAGCAAAGCCACCAATCTGACTATAACACGCAGCTTAGCTCATAAGTACGTATTTGAGGGATATGACTTTGTTATCAGGATCTATTTTTAATAACCTTGCAGCACACAAGGAAACTTCCTCATACCCCAAGCCACGCAATGAGGTATGTTGTTTTGTCTAGGATTTTGCTCAGTTCAACAGCACTCAACCTTACCAAGGCGAATTTTGTCAATATCTTATTTATTGATAAGAAAAATAGCTTTTAGAAAGTTCAAAGTTTCCTGAAACTAACATCAGTGTACGTTCTATGCCAGCGTTGGCAGGAAGGCCAATCCCCCCTCAGGCTGGGAAGGGAGTCCCACACAGGCGGGTCACAGCGCCCGTCCCTGCAGGGCTCCCAGGTACTGCACCACCTCCCCCGTTCCTTTCAAATGATCGTTTTGTGAGTTCACAACTGAGTTCTGCAAAAAACTTGAATAATTTTAAGCCAAAAAGCAGATTAATTTAACTTTCATTTATCAAAATCATTACCCACTGACAATATATTAATACAAATAGACAAAGCATTACCTAGACCAAAACAGTTCCTGATCACTTCCGTGGGTGTATGCCCAAAATCATACACAGTTAAGGGAGATTTAAATATATGCTAAACACTAAACAGGACTTCCAGCGAGAACTTCCCTCCCTGAGGCCTTTTTTTTTTTTCCACTATCAAACTCTGACTGCTCATAAACATGGAATTAAATCTTCCCAAAGAGACTCCTTGTCTTTTCACTATCAGAATTGCAAGAACACGTCCTTCAACATGCCCATGCATGCACACACTAAATGCCTTATGCTCCAAACATTTCAACATTCATTTGTTATTTGATATGGATTTCAGACTTTTACATGTTGCTTTTTCCTGCTAAGAACAGTGAAGGACTCTTGCTGGAAAAGTGATGTAGGAAAATTAGCAAGCAGAAATACTTCTATGACACTACAACATGAATGAAAATTGTACAGCCAATTAAGCACGCTACGCTGGCAACTTCAAGAACATAAGGGCCTCTCCCAGAGCCCAGTAATGCTCTGTATAATACCGTAAAAATCTGCCACATTTAACCTCTCTCTGAAAAGTCTGCTGAGATTAGATCCTGACTAATTGATAAGGAAGAGAGTTTTGTGCAAGCAGAACCAAGTTTCCAGGATCAACACACAACATTCTTCAGAGACTGCACACACAGCATTTTCAGAACAGTTTTTATACTGGCACAGTAGGAAGCAGATATGGGCCTTTAAAAAAAACCCAACCTGTTAATCATTCATGAATGAACAGTCAACATTTTTAACAAAGGCCACAGATATGCTATCAGGCCTCTGGAAACCTGAACTCAGTGCAGTGGAAAGCAAACGTACACATTTCAGTAATGAAAAGTACCTTGTGAAGTGTCAGAGTATGCCAGCAACAAAAAGCCAGAAAACAAAGTTCGCTTGCAACTGGTGATTACCTTTTTCCTTTTATAGAACTTAAATTCGAGACAAAAACTTGTAGAACATAACAATTGCTTAAAGAATGACTGCAATGCTAGCCTGCAAAACATGACCTACCACACATCAAATTGCTTTCACTGTGGTGCCTCTGTTTGCAGCTTCTTTTAATGCTATAAACCTGCATGTAAAAGCTTTCATTTCAGTAGCAGATTCAGACTGCTGTAAGCAGATGCTGAAAATGAAGAAGCTTTAAAAAAAACAAAAAGGAAAGGCGAATCTCAATACTCCTTATGAAGTTACAAACAACAGATTGTCCATACTCATGCAAAAGAGGAGCATTATATTGAAGGAAAGCAAGGGAATACTGTCTCTGCAGCAGCAAGCTGAAGAAAAAAACAGGCAAATCCCACAGCATCCTGAAACTGGGAATGAAGCATCCCAGTTCCCTCAACAACTGAGCTTCTTGCCAAGGAATTCCCACTGTCCTTTTAGGAAGGCCTGGGACTTCAATACCAGCTTTATTCAAACAGGAATGATAAAAAAGAAATCTCAAAAACTCTACAGTTTCATGTTAATAAAGTGACAGTTTCAACTGGAATAATTAGCTCATATTTTCCACCCTCTTTCTGCTTTTGATTTATATTTTTACAAACATGTTCTGGACTCTGTTTTCTTTCTAACAGACACAAGCATATTTACAACTTATACCCAAAAACACACAGAGCAGATTTTTCAATGAGTCCTGTCCTAACTCAGAGGTGAAGAGAGCAAGTTAATTTAACAAGCCAAATTTAAACGGGAACTGAAACATTTTTTTATGCTCTAACCTTCTCCAACATAGGCTGGATAATTCACACTGTAAGTCTAAGGAACATA